AATAAAAGTCCTTCCTATTATTTACCTGCATTTAAGCATCTTAATTTTGCCTTCATTTCTGACAGATATTTTTCATCGGGGTAAAGAATGCCAGGTAGGTTTTTTTCCCCCTCTTTCATCACTTTCAAGATGTTACTCCATTATCTTCTAGTTTTAATAATTTTGTTGAAAAGTCAGCTATCAGTCTTATTCTGGCTCCTTTCAAGGAAATATATCCTGCCTTCTCTAAGTGCTTTTAAATGTCTCTTTATGTTTGATTTTCAGTAACTGGACTGTAAGATACTTAGATACGTTTTGTTTGTTGTGTGAAGTGAATGCTTGTGTTTATCCTGTTGGGCTTACTGAGCCTCTTGGTTCAGTGACTTAAAGTTTCCCATCAGCTCTAGAAAATTCTCAGCCATTTTTCCTTCAAATATTTCACTTGCCCCTTCTCCCTCTTTCCTCTTCGGGGGCTCGTATTCCACAGATTTTAGAACTTTTCTCTGTGTCCCCCATTTCTCTTATGCTCTGTTTTTTTCCTCTGTGATTCAGCTTGGATATTGTCTATTGGCTTGTTCCTGAGTGTTCTCATCCTGATTTCGGATGTGTCCAGCCTATTTTCGAATCCGTCTAATTCTCAACTTCAGATACTGTATTTTCCAGGTCTAGAATACCCATTTGGTTCAATAGACAGTTATCTATTGGGTTATCTTTTCACATGCTTATTTCTGTTTTAACATACAGTTATTTTGAATTCCACTCGCAACTTATTGGCCAAAATTAGTCACATGGCTCTACCGAACCACAAGCAGGCGAGGAATGCAATTGTACTTGTTTGGAGAGGCTATAAAGATACAAACATTCGGGGAACAGCATTAATGATTACCACCCTTGGCTACGGTCACAAAATAGCTAAGGGTCAGCCTGGGTCTAAACACAGGCATTTCCAAATCCAAATATTTGTAACCTTTTTACTATAACAAAACCTCTCTTGGGAGCTAATTCATTACTAAGTTAACTTTTTTCTATAAATTTTTAAACTAGGGAAACTTGGCTTTCTTATCCAATCTTTGAGTGGAAAATGGATACTGAATAAAGTTCTCATGATGAATTGACTGCAATAATCCATGTTTTTAAAACTTTTAAATTGAGGTCTAATATATAAATGGAAAATACAATGAATTGTCACAAAGTGAACACACCTGTGCATCCATCGTCTAGGTCAGGGAACAGAACATTACCACTACCACTCAGGTCCCTCCTATACTTACTCACAATAACATTCCCCTTTTTCTTCCCCAAGGTAATCACTGCCCTTACTTGCTTCTAACATGCCATAGTAATTTTGCCTGTTTGGACTTACAGATAAATATAATCATGTATTAAAAATGCTTTTGAGTCTGGCTTTCAATTAACATTATGTGATTCATCCACATTGTAGTATGTAACTGAAGTTGGCTTATTTTCTTTCTATGTAGTATTCCACAAAGACATCACAATATATTTACTTATTCATTCTGTTCCTTTTGGACATTTGAGTTCCACTTTAGGGCTATCTCTAATGATGTATATACGCTCTTGTACACCCCTGTATACATTTTTTCAGTGCACATATGCTTGTACCTCATTGAAGCTGCTTGGCCAAAGGTCATAATTAACATTTTCAGATACTGCCAAACAACGTACCAGGGGTATAACTATGCAGACCCATCAGCCGCATACAATAGTCCTCATTTTCTAAGTCTTCTCCAAGAGTTGGTATTGTGATCTGTTACATTTCCAGCAATTGTTTTTTAAGGTTCTGTACTTGTGCTGTCTACAACAGTAGCTGTTGGACACATGTGGCTAGTGAAAACAAGAGAGAGGTCTAGGGCAACAAAGGAACTCAGTTATTTTTTATTTTAACTAGTAGAATTTTTAAAAACGGATAGTCTTCAGTTAGAGGATAACTTTTAAGTTAATTTGGAACGACACCAACATGAGAATCCACTTTTTCAACTCTAAATTTTAAGAAATCTAAACATAGAGGAAGTACTTCTGATGAAAATTTAGTATCCAAATCAGGGTGGGTAGCAAATGTAAAATACACAATGAATTTCGAAGATTTACTGAGAAAGTAAAAGCTGGATTTTTTTACATTAAAGATATGTTGAAATAACATTTTGAAGGTATAGGGTTAAAAATATTTTTAAAATGAATTTCACCTGCTACTTTTCACCTTTTTTAAATGGGTTAACAGAAAACGTAAAGTAACATATGTGGCTTACACAGTATTTCTACTGAATAGTGTGGCTCTACACCATATATACTGAACATAAATAATTGAAAACTAAAAAATACACAGCCTGTTAAAGTACGGATATGTTGGTTTCAAATATGGTACCAATTATTTGTTACATAAAGCAATTTAACTGCCTGATTCCAGCAGAGAATCTCCCAATTCGGATACAGGTGTGCCTTCTAAAAGAGAAAACCTTAACCCTAGTTTACAATAAAATGCATAATGACTAGAGCACACAATAAGACTCTTAGTAACAAAACATGAAACCAAGTCTTCTTGACTACAGATTTAAGTCATGCACACACAACACTGTTTCAAAACCAAATCACCCGCCATCCACACATTCTCCACCCCAAACAACTGTCAATAGAGCACACTCATTCAGAGTCAAACGCAAGGACCAGGACCGAAGTTTGGGCTTCCTTTAAATTATATATTCTTAACAGGTGGTGGCTGGGCGGGAAGCGGCTGCTGCTGGTCACAGACTCTAGTTTAAAAGATAAAATACACCAGACTACTAGTTAGTATATAACCATCTAAAAAGCTAATCACACCATTACGACATCTAACAGCCTTTGAGAGAGAAGGGAGGTCAGGGCCAAACGGTGGAGTGTAAGAGCATCCTTCCTGGATGCGCCAGCTGAATCCCCAAAGCATTTGCACCAGCAAATCCCCAATCACAAGGCTATCTTCTTGCGATAGCCCGGGAGTGTCACCTTCTTGTAACACACGAGGGTGTTAGCTATTTGCATTTCCCTGCAAGACGAATTAAAACCCTTGGCCCTCCCTCCACTCCTATACGGCTGAGATAGGGTGAAAAGCAGTGCTGGCCTCACAGGGCGGCTCAGGAAGGCCACGGAGGTCCTGGAAAAGACAGCCCGCAGGTGCAACTGGCCCCTACTCTTCGCCTCACCGCCTCCATACAGCACAAGAGCCCCGCCGGCCGAACCCAGCTCTCCCGTCCCGGCCCTGCCCCTCAACAGGCGAGCGTGTAGGTGGCCCAGCCCCCGCGCCCGCTTACCGAGGTCCAGGGCCTGGTGGCACCTGAGCAGAGCGGCCTCGGGCTGCTGCTGGCGTTGCAGGATCTGCACCTGGCCCGCCAGCCTGCGCGCCCGGCACTCGGCCGGGAAGCACTTCTCCAGCAGGCCGCTCAGCACCACGTTGACGCGGCGCACCGGCGGCCGGCCCGGCCCCGGCTCAGCGCAGCGCCTGCACACCGTGAGCCCGCACGGCAGCGTCACCGGCTTGTGCAGCAGCCGCTGGCAGCGCGGGCAGTCCAGCAGGTCCCGAGGCGCCGCGGGCACCGAGGCCGACGGCTCCCCGCTCGGCGCCTCCCCGGGGTCGCGGCCCGGCTTCCCCACCGGCGACCGCCGCTCGCGCGGGCCCGGGACGCACGCCAGGCCGCTCGCCAGCTCCCCCAGCTCGTCGGGCCGCAGCGCCCCGAGCCGCGCGGCGCCGCGAAACGCGCCCAGGGCCTCGGGGAGGCGGCCGGCGCGGGCCAGCGCGTCCCCCAGCCGCAGGCACAGGCCGCGGTCGGGCCGCGCCAAGCCGGCCAGCGCGGAGCGGAAGAGCTCGGCCGCCGTCTCGTACTCGCCCGCGCGGAAGGCCTCGTCGCCCTTCTCCACCCGCTGGGCGAGCGGCTCCCCGCAGTCGCAGCCACGACAGGGGGGCGGCGGCGGGACTGGCTCGGGGCTCATCACCGCGGGGCTGCGGCGACTAGGGCCGAAGGGAAGAACGGAGAAGGGAGGATGCTCGCTGCCCGGGCCCGGCGACTGCAGCGCGGGCGCTGCCTTCGCCGAGAGCCACGCGCGTCTGCGGGTGGGCGGTGCGCGGCGGGCCGCGCGACAACCGCCGGGGTCGGGCGCGGGGTGGGGCCGCGTCTCCCACGCGGCGTGGGCGGCCAGGGGCGGGGCGGGCGCGGTGGGCACGGTGGGCGCGGCCGAGCCCCGGCCCGCGGGGAACGCCCTCCTAGCTCCCCTGGCTTAGGCAGCCGGGCCGCAGGCGGGAAGGCGGCGACCCCTCCACGTTCGTTCGGCGTCTCCGCAAACCCTGTCCCTCCTCGCCCCGGGCGGCCCCGCGCGCGCGTGTGCGTGCGCGCTCGTCTCCACGCGCCCTAGACCCGCGCGTTCTGTGCCCGCCCCGCGCAGCTCCTTGGCCGTCCGCTGCCGCCCCCGCGCCTGCAGCAGGTGTCTTCAGCCCGCCGTGCCCCCTTCTCCCCGCACCGAGTGCCAGCCTAGCCCCAAGGCCTGGCCAAGCCCACCTGCGGTTGTGGTTAAAAAGACAACCGATAAATAAGTACCAGGGATGTAAGGTGCAGCATGATGACTATAGCTAACGCTGCTGTACCATATATGGGAAAGTTGTTAAGATAGCAAATCCTAAGAGTTCTCATCCAAGGAGAAAATTTGTTTTTTCTTTTTTTCCTTTCTTTCTTGCATCTATATGAAAAGATGGAAGGTAGCTGAACCTATTGTAAACATTCCAACCATATATGTAAATCAAACCATCATGCTGTATGCCTTAAACCTATATAATGATGTATGTCAATTATTTTTTAATATAACTGGAGAAGGAGAAAGAGACAGACAGAACTGAGGGAACGTTACCCAGCACACCACTGTAACCCTAGCTTTGACTTAGGAAATTGTGTTAAATGACCAGGAAGCCTGAAGTGGGCGCTGATCGGATCTCATGAGTAAGCTTTTCTTAACGGAACTCTAGATGTTAGAGACATTTTAGAGCTCTAATTTAGACAGAACTCTAACATAGCATGTGAGGAAATACCAGACTAAGTACTGGAAAGGATTTGAGACATGGAAAATTGTATTATGTCCTTGATAGGAAAGTAGAGATAGAATTTCTAAAACTGTCTCCTACAGTGCAGTACTACAGAGAGAAGTTGCTGGAAGGAGGGAATTAAAAACTACACATAACCTGCTCTTCTCTCCCTAGTGCTCGGCCATCTGTTTCATGCTATGTATTTGAATGCGATAAAATGCATTATAGTATTCCAAAATCCGTACTGTTCATTATTTCAAGTCGAAATGTCTTCATTCTAAACTTGTGAAGTTTTTCTACATCTAAAATTGGCTAAAGAAAATATAAGATACTCCCATCAAATCTGGCTTGGAAGAAGGGAAATGCCTCATTAAGTGAGGTGAGAAAATTTTAGATGAGTCCGTAAAACGGAAACGGAGACAATTTTGGCCAGCCTCCTAGTCCCATGATAAAGAAACATGCAGAGCAAATCCCCCTGCCACCCCCTCCATCTGCCACCTCCCACCTTTCCATGAATGATTTTTCTCCTCAGCTTTCTATTTTGACTGATAACGGTTGTAGTCAAACTAGGTTTTGATCTGTTCCTCATTACTGAATGGGTCCAAACTCTCTTTTACATCACTCTTTGGGTTTTCATCTACTCTCTTTATGTAGTAATTCACTTGGATTTGAAGGTTGCTTATCCAACAAATTCACCACCAACAACCGGGAAGCTGCCGGGGGTTGGAGGGCAGCTTTTGAGTAGTTAAAATTGTTGCAACAGACTCTACACTAAGGACTATGAAACCTTATGATCTCGGATCTTATTTGTTCTTTTAGACAAATTTCTAGCAAAAGAACAGAAAGGAGACGCTGTTCGGAGGTATGCCTGCTGAGAGCAAGAAGTGTGTAAAGTAAAAATATCAATATATTGTGAGATTTATAACATGCAGAAATAAAGTACGTGACAGAAATAGCACAAAGGCCAGTATAGGAAAAACAGAGGGCTACAAAGTTCTAATACTGCATGTGAGATGATGTAGTCACTTGAAGGAATATTGTAGTGAGCTAAAGATACATACTCCAAACCCTAAAGCAGCCACCTAGATAACACAATATTTATAGTTGAACGTCCAACAAACGAGATAACTGGAATTATTCTACAAAAATAAAGTCTATTAACCCAAAAGAATGAAGAAAAAGAGAAGAAGGGGGAATAAAAACAGAGGAGATGAATAGAAAACAAAGAGCAAGATGGTAGACTGAAACTCAACCATATCAATCCATGTTAATTAAATATTAATGGTCGAACCACTATAATTAAAAGGCAACATTGTCAAATTGTATATAAAAGGAAGGTCCAAATATACGCTGCTTCCAAAACAAAGATACATATAAGTAAAAGGTAAAAGTTAAATAAGAAGATACAAATAAGTTAAAGGTAAAAGGATACAAAAAGTTGTTTCATCTTAACCCTTACCAAAATAAGGGGATAGTGACTACACTGATATCTGACCAAGGAGATTTCATAGCCAAGAATATTACTAGGAGAAAAGATGGCCATTTCATAGTGATAAAGGGGTCAATTGGTCAAGAGGACAGAACAATCCTAAACAAGCATGTGCCTAATAATGGAGCTTCAAAATGTACGGGGTGGGCTTCCCTGGTGGCGCAGTGGTTAAGATTCTGCCTGCCAATGCAGGGGACATGGGTTCAATCCACACGTGGATCCAGGAAGATCCCACATGCCGCAGAGCAACTAAGTCCATGCACAACAACTACTGAGCCTGTGCTCTAGAGCCCATGAGCCACAACTACTGAGCCCATATGCCACAACTACTAAAGCTTGTGCGTTCTAAGGGCCCATGTGCTGCAACTACTGAGCCAAGCCTGCGCTCCACAGCAAGCACTCCAGAGTGGTTATTTTTTGATAGTAATGATGATGAGAATAATGATAATGCTGTATTCAATGAATGCATCCTTCTGTTTCTGACAGGCGCACTGAGTAACAGTATTTTGGAAGGTCTCATGGTATTTATTTATCAACCTCAAAGTGAAAAATAAAACCAAAATATTCTACTTCCGTGATTAAATTCTAGAGCTTTATTATTTACTAAAGCATCTAAGATCTTTTAACTCTTAAGTACATTTTTAGCCTGTATCACCTCCTGGACACTAAGATTTGAGGACACATCAGTAGGTTTTGTAGCATAACATCCCATCTTGGTACCTTGTACTGGGTGGGCCAAAAGGTTCAGTTCTGTAAGATGGCTCTAGACGCACTTAGCTGTCTTTAACTTCATTCAAAACAATTTTGTTAGATTGAATGTGCCAGCTGTCATATCAGCGTGCATTTTAAAAAGACATCAAAATTGGTGAATTTTTGTGTAGCCATTTTAATATTGAAGATGGAAGAAAAAAGGCAACATTCTCGGCATATTATGCTTTATTATTTCAAGAAAGGTAAAAACGCAACTGAAATACACAAAAAGACTTGTGCAGTGTATGGAGAAGGTGCTGTGACTGATCGAATGTGTCAAAAGTGGTTTGCAAAATTCGTGCTGGGGATTTCTCGCTGGACAATGCTCCATGGTTGGGTAGAACAGTTGAAGTGGATAGCAATCAGATCAAAACAATATTGAAAACAATCAACGTTATACCACGCAGGAGACAGCCGACATACTCAAAATGTCCAAACCAAGCACTGAAAATCATCTGCACCAGCTTGTTGTGTGAGTCGCTTCGATGTTTGGGTTCCACGTAAGTGAAAAAAACCTTCTTGACCATATTTCTGCAGCAATTCTCTACTGAAATGTAATGAAAACGTTCTGTTTTTAAAACAAATTGTGACGGGCGATGAAAAGTGGATACTGTACAACAATGTGGAACGGAAGAGATCACGGGGCAAGCGAAAGGAAGCACCACCAACCACACCAAAGGCCGGTCTTCATCCAAAGAAGGTGATGTTGTGTATATGGTGGGGTTGGAAGGGGGTCCTGTATTATGAGCTCCTTCAGGAAAACCAAACGATTAATTTCAACGAGTACTGCTCCCAATTAGACCAACTGAAAGCGGCACTCGATGAAAGGGTCCAGAATTAGTCAACAGAAAACGCATAATCTTCCATCAGGATAATGCAAGACTGCATGTTTCTTTGATGACCAGGCAAAAACTGTTACAGGTTGGCCAGGAAGTTCTGATTCATCTGCCATATTCACCAGACATTGCACCTTTGGATTTCCATTTATTTCGTTCTTTACAAAATTCTCTTAATGGAAAAAATTTCAACTTCCTGGAAGACTGTAAAAGGCACCTGGAACAGTTCTTTGCTCAAAAAGATGAAAAGTTTTGGGAAGATGGAATTATGAAGTTGCCTGAAAAATGGCAGAAGGTAGTGGAACAAAAGGGTGAATACGTTGTTCAATAAAGTTCTTGGTGAAAATGAAAAATGTGTTTTCTATTTTTACTTAAAAAACCGAAGGCACTTTTTGGCCCACCCAATGTTATTATTCCTACAGGAAAAAACTAGGGAACACACAAGGATGAAGTAATTAATCATACGGCAATACAGGGAAGGAACCAAAATGAAATGTTTGGGATTTGGAAACCCCCATACTCACTGATAAACTCTGATGCCAGCCCTTGATGGGCACTGAGGATGCTTGTTCCTTATTTTCACAATTATACTCACACTACACTTATACTGAGAAAACATGGTAATGCTCAAATGAGTAGGACTCTCTAAGCATTATAAATGATGGATGAGGAATTCCTATAGGTGAAGTGAAACTGTAGGAAACATCACTGATCCCTGTGCCTATATACTGGCCTTTGTCAGACAGTTTTTAAAAATCAGGCACAGACTCCTCAGGATTCATGGGGATAAAGATAAACCATGGGAAACATTCCAGCCATCTGTGACATAGATGCACAGTGAGCAGGCGATGGCATGCATTTCTGCAGAAAATGACCATCAGTCAGTCTACCAGCTTGGAACTTGTTGCCAAAAGCGGAAACAAGCCATCATTAGTGTTAATGGAGGCGCTGGCTGACAGGTAACGAGGCTATCGATCAGACAAAAGCTCTGTGGCCCTTTCTCCCCTTGGAACTCCCTGAACTGGGCATATGCAGCATTACAGTGGAAATTTCCCTCAACAAATCCTTTCCACCATGTCCTGGTAAATCTTCACCAAGTAGTCCTCAAACATATAACTTAGTTTCATATATCATCTAGCTGTTGATTTCCACTGTCCAGAATCATCTGGTGAAAAGACAAGCGCGTAGGCTAAAAAGAAACTGGACATAAAACAACCCCATCCATTCTGCATTATCTGCATTCATAGCTCTCCTGGGGCCACTACCCATTTCTTAGGCTCCGCCACTACACACCTTCCTGCTCTTCACGTGTGGCTGTAAAGGACTGTACCCACCAAGGCCTCCCCAGGGGACTGCGTTCACATGCGGATTCCCACCTACATTTTCAATGACATTTTCCATCAATACGGGGAAGGCAGAATCAACAGGATGTTGTGGCTTCCCTGCATAGGACAATTATCTCGGGCAATAAGGGTTGAAGGCTGTCACTGAAGCGTGTACATGATAACGGGGGGAGCAAAAAAAATCAACGTATAGAGCACAAAGCTCTCAAGGAAGGAGAATGCCAGTGGGTCACATAGAAACAAAGCATACATTTCGTATCTGTTTGCCGAGAATGGAAGCTGTAGGCTTCCTGAAATCAACCTAAGTTACACATAGATATAGATGAATGGACTGTGTATTGTTACAAAGAAACAACAAAATGGAATCGCTTGTGCTAAGCCCCACATCAGCAAACCAAACTTAATACCTAACCTAATTACAGTTACAGCCTCCCCCAGGAATAGAGTCTTAACCCAGCGGTCCAGGGACCGGTTTCATGGAAGACAATTTTTCCATGGACCTGGGGTGGGGGGTGATGGTCATGGAAGACAGTTTTTTCACGGAGCGGGGAGGGGGGGATGGTTTCGGGATGATTCAAGCGCATTACATTTATTGTGCACTTTATTTCTATTACTGTTACATTGTAGCATATAATGAAATAAGTATACAACTCACCGTAATGCTGACAGGAGGCGGAGCGCAGGCGGTAACGCGAGCGATGGGGAGCGGCTGTAAATACAGAAGAAGCTTCGCTCGCTCACCTGCCACTCACCTCCTGCTGTGTGGCCCGGTTCCTAACAGGCCATGGACTGGTACCGTTCCGTGGCCCAGGGGTTGGGGAGCCCGTCTTAACCGGTCAGTATGGAAATTTCTTGTCAGCACCACTGAGGCAATCTACCACACAGGTCCCTTCTGTCCCCTATAGGTAGCTTACCTAAGCCTGAAGCAATCTACTCTTTTCCTCCTTTTGCTTATAAAAGCCTTCCATTTTGTACAGCTCCTCAGAACTCCTCTCTACTTGCCAGATGGGATGCTGCCCAGTTCATGAATCGTTTAATAAAGCCAATTAGACCTTTAAATTTTACTCGGTTAAATTTTTGTTTGTTAACAGTGTGTACAGGTAGACACACAAGCGCATACACAGAAAACTGTCACACCCGAAGCCTTTTCTGCATATCTTGATTTTACTATATTTTCTGAATATTAAGCAGGAAAACCTTTCTGTAGAATAATTAACTTACCTGCAAGTTTGAGCAGTTGTGGAATAGAAAACTTGCTAATGAACGCTATTCACCTGGGTTTTGTTGATGCTGGACAGGAATAGAGAAGATTTCTTTTTCTGAAACTCCCACCAACGTCCCAAGGAGTGTTTTCAGGCTGACAGTTGCTGGTGAGGACAGCCCTTGGCAAACACAACAGCCGCCCTGGGCCCACAGCAGGTCCCCATTCCCCTCAGAACAAGGCATACAGAGTTGGCTGGATTCGCTCCAACTATCACTGAGGCAAGTTCCAGCAAGAGTAAAACTGGGTGACATCATACAAAGACCTAAGCAAGGGGTTCCAGTCTTTTACTAAGAATTATCTCCTGGAAGGGAAGCTGTCCGTTTGTTTTTAGAGCTTATGATTTAATAAAATAGACAAAATTTCCATTTCCCTGGCTCAGAGATTTTTGGCAACCTCTCCGTAGACTTAGTTTGATTTCCTATCCTCTACCTGCTCTTCAGCAGAGCAAATCTGACCATGTACATCCTGGGCCTAATTTCAGAAGAGTACTGTTTTGTAACCACCTTCATTGCAGCTTCTAAGACCACCTTGGTGAGCTTCCCTGTGTACACAAAGGGAACCTGGGTTTAGCGGGCACTAGAATAGGAGACAGCGCCCCCTGGAGGAAACTGGTGAACAAAGCTGGCAGAGAAACTGCTACAACCTGATGGCTTATGAGTCAGCAGTGGCCCAAGGACCCCCTTAACTTGTGCACCTTTGATGTTCCCAACTGTAAACTGGGTATTCTCACTTCTGCTATCCTGTCCATCTTCTTACGCTTGGAAGTTCAGGTCAGAGGTCGTCCACACTTCCCTCCTCAGAAAGCACTTTCGATTTATCCAAAATTTTATGTGTTTTCATATTTGGCTATTTTTAAGATCAGTGAGAGATACCATCAACGGGAATGCCAAAATTGTGAAACATCAGAAAGTAAATTAAAATGAATCATGAGGTTTCATGCAGATATGCTGGGGGAGAAGGGAACAGGTTGTCAGTTCTTTCTTCCCAGGAAAAAACCCTGATGTCCTGGGGTTTCCCAGCCCTCCTGGCCTGGGCAGGGTAACCACACCTTTTTATGGGGTGGGCCCTGGCTCAGAAGACTACAGCTTTTGGTCATAATTACCTAATATCTAACCAACTGAAGACTAGAGAATATACAGCTGCTATTTTTATTACCATCCTTCTAGTTTCCAAATAATTTTGCAGTGTAATCTGTTTATGGCCAACTCTTTACTTATATTCTCTATGTAACGTGGAGGTTGGTTCTAGTTTTATTGCCTTTTAGAAACTTCCCTAAAGTCGTAACATTGGTTTTTTCCTTTTCATTAAAAAATATCTGTGGCCCAGAAATTCTATGCTGAGGTATCTACCTAAGACAACCAAAGGGTTCAAATCTATTTCTTGTATCAAGGGTGTAGGAGGAAGGTAAAAGGAATACTCTTCTTCAGCACCTGGATTTTCAGGGTTTTCTGTGAAGGCCTTGAGCAATGGTTAAGGGGTATCCTCACCAGCCACAAAGCACTACTTTAATGTGAGGCAGCTGGAGCTCATTACCAGGAACAAGGGTGGGAACAGGGGGCCCTACTTCCTTTCTTCTTCCTGTTTGTGCCCAGCTCCTCCTGTTCAGCTCAGAGGTGTATCTATCTCTCCTCCTTAAACCTCTGGACCTGCAGGAGCTCATCTGGGCCTCCGGACCCTAAGGTGGAGCGGCCAATCTGCCTGGCTCAAGATGAGATTCTCATATTCTTATTTCCAAAGTGCTGTCGCCTGATCCTAATTGAACTGTCAAATGTTCACAGATCAGTTTTGCTATCATGTACAGAAGGCTCTAACGTATATCTGACACTCAAGTTATTTTAAGAGATGAAAGAAGGGCAAATTGTTATTGTTCTTTTCCTAAGGAAAATGGTAACCAATAGCTGAGAAGAACATGCATGGAGAAATTGGCAGCTTTCTTGTGAGTGCAGACGTTCCTTCTTTAGCATCCCTGTCCTCCAGTTATGGGATGGGGAGGGTGGGAAGGAGAAAAGGCGTTCATGAGTCTTTAGGATGGGGTGGCGTGGAAGCAGCTTAGTTCATGACTGACTCCCAGTGAATGCTGGCAGCTGGGGAGAAGGGAGGTCCGACGCTGCTGCAGCGGTGCCAGGCGTGCAACAGGTGGGTAGCCAAGGGGGTCAGCGAGCGTTCCTGTAGAAAAACACCATGCTCAGAACGACTGTGCTAAGTCAAGGGAGCATTCATTAAGTATCTGTTCAGGCTCAGGAGCTACGGGAATAAATGGAAACAGTCCCTGCCCTTGAGGGTCACTCGGTCATGGGTGGGAGGAGGGGAGTGAGTGGTAGGGGGTGAAGGAGAGCAGGAGATAGGAGATCGATCCATTTAAAACATTCTTTCCTGTAACAAGTAACTGACCTAAGGCTTCCTCGCAGGGGGAGCAGGAGTTAGGTTTATTTAATCCACTATCCTGTTGGCAATCACAGCAAGCCCTCAAGGGCTTTTCAGGAGAATGAGGGCCTAGTTTATCCCCCTTGACATAAACGTCGGAGGTGTGGGGAGGCTCCGCTTTTCCTAGAAACTGTACTTGCCTCTGTAATTCATCGACAGCATGTGCTGTGGGAAGAAGACAAGTGGATTGAAGTTAAAGCATGAGAGTCTGCTTGGTTCAGATAGTCGCTAGTTGTATAATCCTTACACTCAAAATGGGTTTATTGTACACAACATGTCGCTGGGTCTTTTTTTATCCACTCTGGCAATCCCTGTCTTTTAATTAGTGTATTTTGACCATTCACATTTATAGTTATTACTTATACAGTTGGATAAATACGTTTGTAGCTTTTCTATTCATTGTGCTTGTTCTTTCTTTTTTTCTTCTGGTTTTGAACATTTTTATGTGATTCCAATTTCTCTTCTCTTAGAATATCAATTACATTTCCTTTTTATATTGTTTAGCAGTTGCCCTCAAGTTTACAATATACATGTATAACTAATCTGAGTCCACCTTCAAATAACACTATACTGCTTCATATGTAGTGCCCAGTCTACTGGGAAGCCATCAGAGGCATTACACTGTTACACTTCTGTGGATTTCTAGCATTTCCTTTTGATTTTTCTCAGAGTTTCCATCTCTCTGCTTACACTACCTATCTGTTCTTTCATGATGTCTACTTTTTCCATTAGAGCCCTCCACATACTAATTGGTTATTTTAAATTCCCTGCCTGAGAATTCCAACATTTGTGTCGTATCTGAGTCTGGTTCTGATGCTCTTCATATTGTTGTGGGTTTTTTTAAAAAAATTATCTTTTAGCATGCCTTGCAATTTTTTGGTTAAAATCCAGACATAATGTACATCAGGTAATAGGAACCGAGGTAGAAGGCCTTTCATGTTAGGATGTACGGTAACCTGTGAGCAGCTGGGCTGTGTGTAATGTTTGCTGCAGCCATAGGTGCCGGAGGCTCCAGCTTCCTCCAGGGTCCTTGCTGCTACCTCCTCTATTGTCCCTGGGCTTCCCTAGGAACTACTCCTTAAACAGAGTCTGTGCCTTGCAGCTCTCCCAGCTGTAACTCAGAGTCATTGTATTTGATTTCTGGTGCTGTGGAGGCAGGGCGTGGGGAGGGGGTGTCATTCTACAATTGTAGCTTTAAATCTCAGTCTTTTAGTGGGCCTGTGTCTCCAGGCTGTCACCTTTACAGGTGTTTCTTAGCTGTTTTTTTTTTTTTTTTTTTTTACCCCTGAGGTGAGACAGGAAGGCTTGAGGGGGCTGGAATTGGGTAAATGCCCATCTCCTATGTGGGATAAGGCTCTGGTGAAGTCTTTCACTCTAGCTAGTAGCCCTTTGTTATGGAGGGTGCTCTGGGCATAGTTCAAAATGGTTACCTTTCTCCTCTATCTGCAGAGCCAGGAGGAGATTTTTCTTGACTCTTCATCATAAGAATGCCTGGTAGCTCACACTCAACCTCCAGCAATTTGTCAGGATTACCACGTAAGTGATCCTACCGTCCACGGCTCTGGTGGTTTCTGCTACAGGTAAGTTGATCTCAGCTGAGAATCTCCGTATTCACTCATCTCATGATTCTCTGACGAGTATTAAGGAAAGGTGTTTATTTTCAGTTTTCTCAGCGTTTTTCTTGTTGTAACAATAGGAACGACAACTTCCAAGCCCTTTTTACACACTGGGCAATAAACCTTTCAGGCCTACTTCATGTCATTATTTACATTAAAATGCTTTGTAAATGGTAAAGCACTATACTTCCATACGGATTATTACGGATTTGTCAACATTCACCACGAATTTGGGAGTTGTCACCAGGAAATGTCTGTCAAGGCAGGAATTACATTTCCCAGCTCCTGTGAAATTGCTGTGTGCCTCAAGGACGCAGTGAAAGACATGTGTCCCAATGCCACAACTGGCTCATAATAATGCCCCAGTGGTCCTCCCTCCTCCTACCCTTCTCCTGCAAGCAGAGGACCATGTGACCTTTGGGTATAATGGAGCCACAAGATGGAAGATTCCCTGCCTACGAGGAACAGACCACTGGATTGTTATGTGTGCAAGACATAATCATTTTATTGTCTTTAATCACTGAAACCTTGGTTTTTGTTTGTCAGGGCAGCTGATGCTACCCTATCTAACAAAGAAACCGTTATCCTGATAGTGGAGCTGCAGTTACAAAAACCTAAAATTTGTGGTTTTCAAATTTCATATTCACTGGTTAGGAGCTGCGTGGCTAAAAAACAGATATCGTGGGCTGGAAAGATTGAGACTCGTGACGCTGCAGTGCAGTATGGAGTGAAACTTACCTGCGACAATATGAGTGATAAAGAGAAAACAGAAAGCCTGTTGGGGAAAATGGAGGGAAAGAGGCAAAGTGCAAGCATGTATTGACTGTTCCTCTCCACTTTCTGAGGGAGGGAGGGACAGAGAGAGAGAGAGAGGAGAGAGAGAGAGAGAGAGAGAGAGAGAGAGAGAGAGAGAGAGAGGGGGAGAGAGAGGGGTGGCTAGTTGAAATTGGCAAGCACAAAGGAAAAGTCCAGAATTTTGGGTCCTTGCAGTGTTACAACAATTGAGAGTGTACAGATTACAGACAACAAGAAATAAGACTGAAAAAGGCCTGTTAAGACTTACCAGGTCAACTCAGTTTTGAGGACAATACAGATGATGGATGTGATGTTGCTGTCCAAGTCTTGTTTTAGACAGCTTGCTTCAAGATGACTGCTAATAAACTGACAGGGAGACTGGCTTGAGGGCAAGGAAACAAACATGTAACTCCCCAGTCCTTCCTGTGTACCTGCCACCCCCAGGCCTGGGCGGCCCTGTTCAGCACTTGGCGGCCTCTACTCCGCTGCAAGCTCGCAGCTCTGCTCAGCTCTGAACCCCATAACCCTGATGGATGCAGCGCCTGGCGTGTCCCAGGGGCTTGGAAGAGGTACTGTGAAATAACACATTTTATGGCAAGACAAGAAAAACTTAAATGTAAAAAAATCTTCTCTGCCCTTTGGCCTCTTCTCTACCCTCTACCGTGCATTGTGTCTCTGCATTAGGCATTGACCAAACCTCCCAATCGGCAGAAACACCTGCTCAGCCATAAACAGCAACATTCCCCTAGAACCAACAAGACAACTCCTTAAAAGATAACGTTCTTTCTTAATCTTGCAAAGGGTCACAAGGACCCACCACTTTGTACCTGAAGATCTGGATTGTGTAAACTGTCAACAGTCCATCATTTAATGTATAACCCTCTGTCTCCAAAAATTTTTGTTAACTGTGCTCTGACTTCTAATGGGCAGAATAGCTCTCAGAGTTTTCCGAGAGGCTGTTCCCGGGTTATAATCCTCAATTTGTCTCAAATAAAATTTTCCATTTCCTTCTTAGATCGACGGATTTAATCTTTCATCAGCAGTACCTAGAACAATTTACATTTCATCAAAGAGGTGGCGAGGCTCTTCGTCCAAAGTTCGGCTGCATCTCGATCGTTTTCCCCTTCTCGTCCCGCTTTCTGTTCCCTGCTTCTGCAGGTTCCAGTTAAATGCGCTAAGCTGGGGTTGAGTGGGGAAGTGGGGGTGGGGTGTGGTGAGGGGTAGAGGGTGAGCGGTCGGGAAACCAACATCCCCCAGTAACCCTCTGGGACCGTGTCCCCGGTCGGTGATTCTTTCTCCCGGGACCCCTCCCCGCCCTTCCCCGCCCCCCCAAACAGAGCCACCTGGGCCCCGGCATGTGGGGATCTGCCATCTCTGCGTGCACTCAGCCTCTAGGGAAACCAAATCTCACCTTGGCTCTGCGCATCTCACTGTTGACAGTTTCCAACATAAGACCCATGAAACTAAAATGTGTGAGAAGAAATCCAGTAAGAGAAAAGCCATCTAAGACACAAGTCTATTAAGTCAACCTAATATTATTAAACTTGCAAATTCAGGAACTGCCCTCCCTGCCTTAAGACCGCTTCTTGGAGGCAGAGTTGCTTCTCCTGTTTCTTTTTGAATCAGGCTGATGCTACTTCTGAGTGCTCACCTGCACATTCCCTGCGGGGTCGCCCTCTCTAGCTGCCATCTCCTCCTCCCCCTGCCCCGCCAGGTGTCTCCCCTGGGAATGAGCTTCGCTCCACCCCACAGAGACACTCCTGCATCAGGTGCGGAACGATTTCAACAAGCCTCTGCTAAAACATGATAGAAGAATGACTGATCCTGCAGCCTCCGCGTGTCAGCAGAGGGTGACGGGCCGCCACGCTGGCTGCCCATCACCAGCGTGGCGGGCAGGCACACGAGCGCCTCTCCTCCACCGCCGGCTCGCCCGCAGCCATCACGCAGGCCCGCGTGCCCCTCACCGTCGCCAGGCCTCGGGGACGTCGCGTCCACACAGCACCTGACCTGGAACCGCGGCCCACGTCAGGTTGGCACGTGTTTTGTTTTAATTTCATGTTACTTTCACATTTACAAACTCAGGAAGCCACACTGAGCAAGGGACGGTGGAGGCTGCCTGGAGGAAAAGCTGGGCTCCTGGGCCCTGTGCAGCCTGGACGCTTGGGACTTTTCGCAGGGAAACTCTCCCGTACCTTGAGGGACCTCGCTGTCGGACGGCACCTGAAATGGTAGCCGTGGCCTGCTCCTCAGCGCCTGGAAGGTGCGTTACTGCGGCTGCCTCGGCCCAGGAGTTTATTGCTGGTGAACTTGATTACCCAACTTACAGTCCAGGATGACAGCATCATCAGAAATGGGTCCAGTGGTGCGCATTTTGCTGAGACGAAAGGAGACTGAAATGTGTAAGCTGCACTGACTGGGCAATACTGGCATGTTGCCCGTGTTTGCCGCTGGCCCCCAGGAGGGCCTGGCCTTGGGAGAGGCAGGTGGAGACCCCCCTCCCCGTGCCCATCCACACGGGACCATCAGAGACAAGAGGCAGACAGTCACCAGGGTGGACGTGCCTAAGCCCAGGGCAGCCCGAGCTCCAGCACCCGGCCAGCTCTGCCTCTTCCCAGGCTCCCTTTAAGGTCCCCAGAGACGTTCCTTTTCTCAGGTGGGAAATGTGTACACTCCCCTCACTTTGCAAAATTGGATCTCTTGGGCTGAATGAGATCATCACTTGGCAGGCAAAGGTCTGGAAATGTGGCCCAGCAGCACACAGGCATGTATTCTGAATAGATGGACTCCCGGAGAGTGCCCTCGAGTCATCCCTGAACTTCTCAGGAACAGAACAGTCGTGGAAAGAAGGGTCTGCCTCTGTGACTACAGTGGCGCCAAGATGAAACCCAGAGGTGTAATTACTCAGATTTGACCCTATCTCGGCCCCTGGGATGTGTGCAGACCACTGGCTCTTCCATCTCTCCTGAAAGCGCTGGGCGCCATGTCTACAATCCCCTGGGGACAGGCATGACCGCCCCACCGTCTGCGGGAGCTGCAGGTGTCTGACCACCGAGGGAGGTGACTCGAGGCTGTATGATTTTTCCTCCCGTCTGTTCAACTGCAAATGTTTAGTGTCCTTCCCCGCTGAGGAGAGCAAAGGCCCCATGGCACTGGGGCTGGGGTGGAGGAGGGAGGCAGGGCCCGCCGTGCACCTTCTGTCCAAACTAGGTCATAATGGTCAGGGTCCAGCTTCACTGGCCAAGGCACACCCAGGTCCATGGGAACTGAGGAGTGTTCAGGGGGAACGTGACAGAGCAAAGTGTCATTTCTGTGCCCAGATCTCCACCCGGTTAGCCTCTGGTCTAACAAAGATACTTGAACTCACAGTCCTACACATTAGTTTAGCAAAAAATCTGGCTTCTGATACCCAAAGAGTTTAAAGTCCCCTTCAAAACGTGCATAGAGGCGCCGGATGTCTCGTTTGCTGATACCCAGAAAGTAGTGCTCGACTTTGGTTCTGTTATACGCGGTGATGCCCGGGGGGATGGTGGGGTAAGACACCAGGTGGTCTATGCCAGCCTCTTTCAAGATGTATGGGGCGTCGTCCTCCAGGGTCTCGTGGTGACCGATGATGCTGTACTTGATCTCGCAGGGTGCGCACAGTTCCACGTATGTCACCCAGTGGATGATGTGGTCCCCAAACTGAAGGTCCAGCCACCTATGGTTCGGATCACCCAGGTAGCGCACAAAGTCCTCAAACTGGATGCCCCTGGTCTCCGTTCGGTTCCTCCTGTACTTCCTGATGATGCCAGGGGCAATCTCGTGCCTGTACCAAGGCTCAAAGCGGGGGTTGTGAACAAACTTATCCTTAAACGCAGAAATCAGTCTCTCGAAGGGATCTCTTACGATAAAAAACTTGAAGTATGTCTTCAAGCTAAGGGAAACAAATGAAGATGAAGAAGTTAACCTGATGCTGCTGGTGGTGCTGGCTGTGGGTTGTGAGGAAGAGTGAAGTGTGATGGCCGGAGCAGTGGCAGCCACCACGCTGAGCCCTGTGCCAAGCACACTGCATGTGGCTCTTACTCAATCCGCACAGCCACCCTTGGAAGCAGATCCTGTTATGAACCCATTTTACAGGCTGAGGAAATGGAGGCTCAGAGACCTTAACTGTCCAAGACCACAGTACTCATCACCCCCGGGGCTGCTGTGAAGACATCTATTTAACCCATGTTTTGTTTCACTTGAGTAGTTTGAAACTTCAGGAATGTTTGAAAGTTTTGTTCCTGTGCAGAAAACCGTTAAGGGCAGGAACCCTGACTGAGTTAGGAACAGCTGAGGCCTGAGAATGACTCTAAGGGTACGTCTTTAAAAACTCAATTCAAAGTTTCCAGGGGAAGGAAAATGGGGGGCAGAGTAGGGGGGGAAGAGGAAAGGCAGAGTGAGGCTCCAGTCTCCAGCTGGCGGAAGGGGGTCTGGGGGAGCTGCCAGTGGGGGGGTGGCGGCGCAGGGGTACTCCCGTAAAGGGCCTGTACTGACAGTGACAGAGCGATGACGACACTGCTGTGATTCCGTGCGCTCACCCAGGGCAGAGACCCTCTCAGCGCTGCAGGTCTCAGCGTGTCTACTCTCACAAAAGCCCCGCAGGATCGCTGCTGAGGGGGGTGACAGGACCGCCCTCCCCCAGGAGGGTCTCTGACCTGGCATTTGACACCTGCCTTCTAAGGCTGTACACGTTGGCAAGAGTGAGTAACCAATACTGGAAGCAATGAAAATCAAGTAGCTGAAAAGCAAGGGAGGTGAAAGATCATTCGGTGCCCTGACACTGACTGGCGTATTATGTACCTGTTCCTTTTAAACCTTGTTCTACGGGGCCATACCACAGCTGTCAAGACAACTGTCCAATCAGCTAAGGAACTTTCCCGATGCCGGTCTCCCTCCTTGCCGTGGTTGGTGAGGCCTGTCTCTCTCCACCTCTGCTGGGTCCAGCCGATCCCGCCACCCCCCAGGGGCAGCTGCCGCCAAGGCAGGCATAACACCTTGGGAGAAAATGAAAAATGAAGTGGGGTTTCCCTGTAACCCAAATCCCTTTCTTATGAAATGAAGGTCATGTTCAGTAAGAAATCCATAAAACTTAACAAAATCAGAGCAGAACAAAAATGACCACTCATTTCTATAAGACAGTTACGCAACCTTCATTTTAATAGCCTGCATGAAGGTTAGGGTGGAGAAGACATTCAGAAATTCTCACAAAGACGTGAATTTAAATGCGCTGAACGCTGGGCGTATGCCCGGCTGCCTCTCACCAACACAAACCAGTAGCTCTTGGAGCCATCTGGGAAACACGGCAAGTACAGAGCCGAGCCTGCGGGGTTTTATCGGCATCCCCCTCCCCTGCTCCTACCGCTTCTGAATTTCTGCATCGCTGAAGGAAGAGAGACGCGGGAGGCCGTTCTTCTCGTGGTCGTGCACCACGCTTTCAGGGATCTCTTCGATGGAAGGAAAGGCTCCTGGGAGGCAAACAGGGAGAGGGCGTGTTGGGGATGCTGCCTTTAAAGACAGATGCCCGTCTCGAAGCCCGGGCCCGCGTTCCCCATGGGCCATCCCAGTATCCACGTTTAGGTCTTTGAATTTCAACTGCTTCTGCGGGCAGGATGAGAGTGAAGAAAAGCTTCTGGTGATCCACAGGCCATCTGGAGGAAACAGACGAGTTAGGAGGAGGGAGAGGGAGGGAGCAACGGCTACAGCAACGAGCACCTAAATCGGGTTCAATCTGCCACAAAAGAAAGATCAGTGCCTGCAAGCAGAATGCCCAAAACCTGCAATACTGACTCTGCTCTGGAACTGGGGGAAACTGCCAGAGAACTGGGACCATGAAACCCACAGCCAGCAGAAATAGAGACACAGAGGTAGAGATCAAATGTATGGACACCAAGGGGGAAAGCGGGGGTGGGTGGGATGAACTGGGAGACTGGGATTGACATACAGACACTACTGATACTAAGTATAAAATAGGTAACTAATGAGAACCTGCTGTATAGCACAGGGAACTGTACTCAGTGCTCTGCGGTGACCTAAATGGGAAGGAAATCCAAAACAGAGGGGATACATGTATACGTACAGCTAATTCATTTTGCTGTACAGTAGAAACTAACACAACATTGTAAAGCAACTGTACTCCAATAAAAATTAATTTTAATAAAAACAACACAACAACACACTGCTGATCCATGCCCGCAGCTCGGGCCCATCACTCCCAGCATGACATCACCCAGGCCTAAGAGGTTCCTAGGTAACCTCACAGCATCCCAGACTGGCAGTGGCCAAGAAGTGTGGTGCTGGACAAGTCAGGCTGATGCTGTGCGAGTGATGTGATATATTCGAAGCACAGCTCAGAGGAGGACACGGGGTGTCTGAGGAGAAGGCAGGGCAGGGCTGAGAGCCACAGCTCCTGGTCCAGGCTGCAGAGTGGAACCTGGGGGGCCCATCCTAGGGTTGGAGGGTTGGGCAGGTGCTTCCCTCTTTTCTCAACTTAGACAAATGGAAATAAAGCATCATTGTGCTGGGGTGCTAGCCAAGCCTCTGCAACCCTTCATGTGCACCTTTGTGTTAACCTTGCCATGTTAAACTCAGAGTCTGGCGGGGAAGGATCTCTGTTGGGCCATCTAAGCAGTGATCACAGCCTCCCAGAATATTTAAGCCCCGATCCAGAACCCTGTGCTAATAAGTGCAGTGGACGGATGGCTATAAAACAAGCAAGATGCACATCTGCTCTCACGGGACCCACAGAGGAACCAGCTCTGAGGATCTGCACCTGGATCTGCTCTGGTACCTGTCGCCACGCAGGTGCATCTACGGACAGCTGAAGGCAGCCCCGGGACTGTCCTTCTCCTATCACATGGCCTGGCAAACCGCTCCCGTTTCTATCCCGCCCGCATCAACGGGTTCTTCTTCTTCGAAGTCTGATGCGTCACACAGTGGTAGCAAATCTAAGACTTCTGTACGTTTGTTGCTTTAAATCTGATTTGTAAGCTCATTCTCCGATGTCAAAAATCCAACGTACTGCCTGATTACTCAAGAAGTGCACTGATTATAAGCAGAAGATGAGGCAGGTGTCTCCCTTTTCTTCCCCAACGAACCAGGGAAGAGGCCGAATGACACCCAACTCCGACACCACCTCTGAGAGCAGCGGCAGGCCTGGGGGGGCGCGGGACGGAGAGCCCGGGGCCATGTCCCATGGGGCTCCGAGGTCTGATTCCTGATCCAGGAGTCACACGGCTATCTACTGGAACTATGTTTCTTTTGAAGCTGCATTTAGCAGAGCCCATAATTATCTTGGGTCAATTCAGAGTAACTGGAGTTTAAACAAACACAGTGTCTGAAAAGAGTGGTGAGGAGTCAAAGCCTGTGGTGCGTGAGGGGCACTCTCCAATGATCTGATTTGTTCCCAAGTGAACACCAGACTTCCTGAAGCAGGCGGATTAAACCTCCGAATACGGATGCTCAGTGTAAGATGGGGACGACTGCAGGTGGGGAGGCCCCCAGACCCACCAGTGTCCGGGTGTGGGTCCTTCTCAGCACAGGAGGGCAGCCATGAGGACAGCTGCTGGATGGCCCAGTCAGCGTGGAGCCCTGACCTCCCAGGACAGAGTGAGTGACTCGCAAGAATCAATGCAGGGACTCTGAAGAGAGGCAACGGGACCAACCGGGCAGGCAGAGATAGGGAAGCCAGGAGGCCCTGACCGTGGGTGGGGAGCGCCTGCGTGAACCCCGCCAACTCCTAACGTGGACACAAACAGGAAAAATGCCGGCACGCTGTCTGTGAGTCACCGGCCAGTCCCGGGCTCCTCTCTCGGCCGCCCTCTCCCACTCCCCCGCCCTGGCCCCGGCCACCCTCCCTGCAGACCCTGAGGTCCAGCGAGGACGCACCGTTCAGCACGATCAGCACTTTCTTCCACTGGGTGTTGCCCACTTTGGGCGTCTGGCAGAAGAGAATCTCGTGCTTGTCACAGACAAATATCCGGTCGAGGACAAACTTGGAGACGGCGGTGTGTGAGAGGTTCCTCAAGGTGTCCTCCCTGCACACGTTTCTGACGAGCTCCAGGCGTTGCATATAGACCAAGGGTTGAACGAGCCGCCCTCCCGGCAGCATATTCCCGGTCAGCTGCAGGGAACGGAGATAAAACGGGCACAAGGGCTTCATTAGCAGAACGGAGCATGCCGGGCATTAACTCACGGAGGCCGGAGCCTGGGGGCTGTCGCCACAGAAGCAGCAGGACGGAGGGCGTGAGTCAGCGCCGCGGCCCGGGGTTCAGGCTGCGTGGATGGGCTGGACCACAGTGCAGCCAGAGACGGCTGACCCTGTCCCCTAATGCTCAGCTTGGACAAACCGCGGGGGCGGGTGGGCTGCCTGCCTGTCGCTGTGCTGATGGCATAATGGCAATGGCAGGATATCCTCCGTTCAGCGATCTGAGGGAAGGCCAGCTTCTGCCCCCTCGCTCTCCCTCCATGTGACCTGAGTGTAAGTATGTGGCCTGGACCTAAGAACCTGCTGTCTACACAGGCGGTGGCTGTTTTGAAGATAACCTGGTACCTTGGTGTATCTGGTTTATTAATTTAAGAAAACACCTTAGGTCACTGAGTGTGGGTTTTAAAAAGGCAGGCACCGTTATTCCACTTCCTCAGGGCTGAGCACACCATTACGTTTCTCTGACATGCGGCTTCAGGTGAGGAGAGGGGCTCTGCCTGGCTGTCAGGTCAGTGGTACCAGTGGTTTGGCTGCTGTGAGCAGGTGATGGAGCCCATCAGCACTGGTTCTGCTCTGAGGAGTCACGAGACCAGGTGAGAAGATCCGCGTGAACTGCGGGGTGAAGGCTGTGATGCCAGAAACCCAGGGCTGTGCTGTCCAGACTTTGCTGGATGCTTTCTGTTGACCTTACGTGCAGCTCATGGGCAGGACTGTCCCTTCTCTGAGTTTAATTCTGGGCCGATAAACATCTTTAGAGCTGGCTCTCCTCACCTTATTTCTTCCTGCACGAGGGCAACCTGAACCTTCCATCCAGACCCGGCACAGGGGCCAGCAGGGGGAGAAGGGGGTCTCAGGAGTGCGCCCCTCACCTTGGCTGGGGGACGATTAGGAATTTACGTGCAAAAGGAGCCTGGGGAGAAATTGGAGTCAGAGTGTCAAGGAAGGTGAGCACGGGGAGAGGTCAGCGGCCCTGGGCCCTGCTGCTAACCCCCGTGACCCTGGATGGTTAGCTTTCTTCCTACCCTCAGTTCTCTCATCCACACCCCCCGGAGGCTGGACTAGCTGCCCCGTAACTCCAAAGTTCCAGGATTCCCAGGATTCGGGGGCAGAGACCTTTTCCCCTGGTTTCCTACCGACTCGCCCAACATCCCCAATCCACCCAGCACAAAGCTCATTCTCGGCTGGGCGGGAACTCAACACAGTCAACACTCCAGAGCACCCACAATGCACAAGGCCCACCGACCGGGACTCCCCCGGCCAGACACTAAAAGCAAGCGGAAAGGTGCAGAAGCAGCGACTCTAAAGCTGAGCATGACAGTAAGTGGAAACCAGCTGATGAGGGCAGGGAGGGAGGAGAGGCTGTTCCCCGTGATGGGGGACCCGCTGGGGCCAGAGGGGTGAGCAGGTGAGAGGGATACGCCAAGGAAGAATGGGTAGAGGGGTCAGTGCCGCGGCCTGGCTGTGCCCACCTTCAGCTCCTCAGGGAAGTGCGTCTCTCTCAGCGACCTCCCCGCGTCGGGCGCGGCGGTCAGGAACAGAAACTCCTGCTTGGCGCTGTAGGCTAGGAGACATAGAGAGGTTAAAACATCTTCCCATGGAGGGGCAGACACCCCGATCAGTGCCACAGCCCAGAGGCCCCAGGAAGAGACCCACACAAACACACCCAAGTGATAGCTGACAAGGCACAAAAGCAATGCGGTGGGGCAGCATCTTTTCAACAAACGGTACCCGAGCAACTGGACGCCCCCAGACAAAGAAGGAGCCTTTCCCTAAACCTCACCCTTTATTCAGGATTAGCACTTAAATGTGAAACAAAAAACTATACAACTTCTTAAAGAGCATAGGAGTAAACCTTGAAAAAACGGATAAACTGAATCTCATCAAAATTTAAAACCTTTGCTCGGCAAAGACCCTATGACAAGGATGGAAAGACAAGCTACAGACTGGGAGAAACTATCTGCAAACCACACGTCTGACCAAGGACTGGAATATCTAGAATATGTAAAGAGCTCTTAAATCTCAACAGTAAAAAAAAAAAAACCGCAAACAATCCCATTAGAAAATGAGCGAAACAGGAACAGACATTTCACCAAAGAGGATCTAGAGGTGGAAAAGGAACATATGAGAAGATGTTCAACGTCATTAGTCATCAGGCAAATGCAAATTAAGACCACAGTGAGATACCACTGCACACCTATCAAAATGCCTGAAACAGACTCCAAAAACTCCCAATGCTAGTGAGGAGGCAGAAAAAGGAATCACTAACACATGGTTGGTGGGAATATAAAATGGTACAGCAGCTCTCAGAAACTCTAGAAGAAGCAGTTTCTTCAAAAATTAAGCATTCAACTACAATATGACCCAGCAATTGCATTCCTGGGCATTTATCCCAGAGAAATGAAAAATTATGTCACAAAAACCTACGAATGTTCACAGCATTTTTATTTATAATAGCCCCAAACTGAAACAACTCAGCTATCCTTCAACAGGTGAATGGTTAATCAAACACTGGTACATCCATGCCATGGAATACTACTCAGCACTAAAAAGGAACAAACTATTGATACACACAGTAAATTGGATGCATCTCCAGGTGACCCTGTTGAATTTAAAAGGCCAATCCCCAAAGGTCATATACCATATAAAACATTCTTGAAAGGACAAGATGGTGGAGAGGAGAACAGATTAGTGGTTGTCAAGGGGGGAGGGGGCAGGGGGGGGGGTGGGGAAAGGGTGGTGGGTGCGGCTACAGAAGGGATCCCGGTGGTGGTGGAGACATGGTGCCTCCTGACTGCATCCTTGCCAACACCCTTCTTGTCACTCTGCACTGTGGTTTTGCAACGTGTCACACGGGGGCAAAAGAGGAAAGGGTACGTCGGACTCTCGTACAACTGCACGTGACTCTACAACGATCTCAGAATTAAAAGTTTAATCAGGAAAAAAAAGCCAAGTCAGCAGTCAAGTCAGTGCTCACACATTATTTTTGAAATTTATGGGAACTGAAATCAGACTAGAGGAGCCTTACAGAACGCTACACCGGAGTAATCGTTTACAACAAACTGATTTGGGGGAAAACCTTCGGGTAGAATTTGAAGGTAACTGTCAGATCTCTACAATCAAAGAAACATTGCTTTCAAAGTTTTGCAAAGCCTGGAAACATTATTTGAATAAAAAAGTAGTTATCAAAGAAAAGCACAGAAATTAGCATAAAAAAGCATAAGCAAAGGCATATTTCACTTTGTTAAAAACATCAAAACCAACTCCTCTTGGGTCATTACTACCTACGCTTTGCAGGCTCTCCTGCAGCCTCCCCGCCTTCAGTCTGGCTGTTAAAGACCCCCGCTCCCCAGCCAGCCCCGCCATGAACGAGCCCCACCCTGACGTCCTCCCGGTGCAGAGGGGAGAAACCCATCCTCCCAGAGCCCCGTCAATAATAATATCCCATCCCCCACCTCTCATGCCTCTGAGCTCTCCGACTCCAATAGAAATCTCGGCCACACACCTCTATGAATCCCACGTAAATCTTTTCTCCTTTTCCCTGCGTTTGAGTTGAAATGCAGCCCTAACCACAGGTGCGCACAGGAGCTGCTCTGCACCTGCCGTGAGGACAGGAGGCGCCACGGACCGCGTGAAGACAGACAGGGCAGCAGCACCCCTGGCCCCAAGGCTCCGGAATGCACCCCGAGGGCCACGAGGCCAGCGTCCAACCTCCTCCTCCTCCGCAGCCTCACCTGCGAGCACCAACGTGCTCAGGGAAATGGCACCTTCCACTCCTATCTGGTCACCTCATGTGCCAACATCTCTGCCCAGCACAGCGATGCTCAGCACTTCCACCGGCCGCACGGGTTCCCAGAAACCTAAGCTTCCTTAATGACATATTAGATGGACAACGTAGCGTGAATTCTAAACAACTGACTTAACAGTGTATTTTTGAAAAGCGCCTATTCCACACACTCAGAAGCATCCAGACGGGCTCTGGTAGCTGTGGGACAGCTCACCTTCCAGCCACACATGTCGGCTATTCGTCTGCCAATTTTTAACTGTTTTTTTTTTTTTAACCTTGAACATCCTGGTATTTGCTCCCCAACTCCCCTCGAACCCAATTCAACTAGATTCAAATAAAACCGACAGCACACCTTATGTTTGGTTCTGCTTTCCCACTGCTTTGCTGACAACCATGTATTTTCAGCAGGTGCTGCTGTCGCCACTGTGACCAAAGGGCAGATCCCTACCCCACTCTGAACCCCAGGGGCGAGACGCCAGCTTCAGGCCCAAGGATCCTGATCAATAGGTACCATCGGCTGTCTTCATAACGTGAGCTCGCTTTCCTTAGAGACATCATTATATTTGTTTTACAAAATGTCTTTAAATTTGCCACGTGCAGTACTGCTTTGTTTTTCTAGACAGGCTAGCATCCCCTCAGCTCCCTGACCTCTCTGTATGTCCAGCTGCCCAGGGTCACCACTGCATCACACGCTGGGCGGGGGCGTGCAGACATCGCATCACAGGTTTTGACCTTAAGGGGCTGGCAGCTGAGCTGAGGCACAAGATTAGGAAGAAAATCAGTGTCTACGCATACACACCAGATTCACACGGATGTCAATTCTGTGTTCAAGTCTCAACACACCATGCCATCCAACTCCCACCACTGAATGGGATTTATTTCCCTATGACAAAGTCTAGTTCAAAACGACACTGAAATCTGTTAAAGAAGGATTCACCGTGGCTTCACTGCTGAGCCAAAGAGAGACCACCACTCACACACACTCACACACTCACACACACACACACACACACACACACACGGCTTTAAACAGCAGCTCAAGACAAATGTGCTCTTCCTACCCACTGGGTGGTAGGGAACTCATTAAGAACACGTAGGTGAGGGCTTCCCTGGTGGCGCAGTGATTGGGGGTCCGCCTGCCGATGCAGGGGACACGGGTTCGTGCCCCGGTCCGGGAAGATCCCACATGCCGCGGAGCGGCTGGGCCCATGAGCCACGGCCACTGGGCCTGCGCATGCGGAGCCTGTGCTCCGCAACGGGAGAGGCCACGACAGTGAGAGGCCCGTGTACCGCAAAAAAAAAAAAAAAAAAAAAATAGAACAGGTAGGTGAGAACTGGATGCTGGAACAGAGCCCACTTCCCAGGGGACAGAGCTGGAAGGAGCTGCCCGTAGACACTGAGGGCACCCAGCTCCCTGAACACTGAGGCCATGGATCTGCCGCCCACTTTACAGGGATGGAACTTCCCCACACGGGACACCACTGTGTGTTAGCTACTTCTTTGTGATGACAGTTCACAGTGGGCTTCTGGTTCAAGAGCAAAAACACTGAACGTGAGTAAAATAAACTCCAGCACGTGAGGAAATCTCTCATGGCCACACATTTACCAACCTCCCCGGTTTCCTGTAGGAGCCCGAGATCCACGGTGGGGGTGAGCTGCCTCTCAAGACAGAGGGGACCCGAGGCCTGAGCCACAGTACTCCAGGGGGCTGCGGCCTGAACTTCTGGGGGGCCCGCTCCCTGCTCAGTCACCCAGGCCAGCAAGACACCATGCATGTGGGCTCGCTCCCTGCACCCGAACCCAGCCAGCAGACACCCGCCTTCAGGATCGCAGCCAGGGACTTGGGGACAATTAGATAAGATCTGTGTGGTCGAGAAAGGTTGGGTTATGTTTGAGCCCAGCAACAAAGGGTTAGGGTTAGGGTTAGGGTTTAGGGTTTGGGGTTAGTGTTTAGGGGTTAGGGTCCTTACTCTCAGTCCACAGCACGACACGGGGCTGCATCCCCACTGAAGACCGGCTCCTCCGTGCTGCCCGAGGGGGAAAGGGGAGCTGGCTGGTGAGCTCTGGCTCTCACGTTCCCTCCAGGAGCAGCCCGCCACCAGGCTCCCATGCACGGAACCGCAGCAACTACGCGGGACACCCAAGGGCACGAGGACCACCATGCGCCTCATGGGGCTGGAGCCACTGGTGAGACCCTGGTGGGCGCCCCTAGGGCAGCAGCAGACCTTCTCTGCAGTTTTAACATCCTAAGGCCTCTCAGCCTTCTCTGTAGGGTCACCTTCCACCCATTCACTTTCTGCTCCCCTTCCCCGAACCTTCTCAAGCTCCCACACTTTTCTGAAAACACTCAGCATAAAACCTGCCCCATCACAGCAGCGACACCTCGTTTATCAGATGCCCCTGAGATGCGAGGTGCTCTTCAGAGGCCTTGCTGCTAGATCATATTCAAACTCAGAGACACACGTCTTATTTAATTATTTTGGGTGGAATATAAAATATATTACATACACTCCTCATTTTTAAATAAAATAAACCACAAACAATTCAACCTCATGGCTCGCCTTTCAAGTGTCTCCCTTACCAGGAGGTGACACTAAAGGAATCACAAGTGAAATGTGTAGACTCAGTGACACCATTTCATGTTCTCTGCAGCTTTGTTTCTTGTGCAGTTTCCCAGCCACGTTCCCACTGGCGGTCCTCACCTGGGCCCCCCGCCTAGAGATTCTGCCCCCTGGTCTCTGCTGGGCCTGGGCAGCAGGAGGTATACACAGTCCCCATGCGATTTTAAAGTGCCCTGGGGACCAGAACCACTGCTCTAACTCTTAACAAGGGGTCTCCACTATCGGTGACGTTAACTGTTGGGGGGAGCAGCCCCGCAGCAAATGGCTGGGCTGAGATCTGCAGCTCAGATTCCAACCACCTTCCCAGACTTGGTCTGTGCTCTCCTGACAGTGGCCCTGGTTCCCAGTGTGACCGTGATTAGCCGTGATACCCCGTGATGCTCTTGGCCACCCCAGATGCCTGCAGCTGTGACTCCACCTTCCCCGGGCTGTGAAAGCCTCTTGGGCTCCTGGAAGATGAGGGTAGGATTGAGATGACAGCCAGTTGGGCCCCGATAACGTTACTGATCTGAAACTGCGGAGCTGAGAACCACCCTGGGGGCTTATTTCAGCACCTCCCTCTTCTGCCTGCAGATCTGCCTTCCTACCTTGCCCCTCTACAGGGAGGATGGAAGCAGGGGGTGTGGGGCATTGGGCGGCCTCAGCCTAGTCGGGGACACCCCCGGCGGCTCTCCAGGATAAGCAGGGCCCGGAGCCCGCTGGCCACACAAACGGCACGGGCTGTGCACCCCCGGGCGTAAATCAGCAAAAGACTGGTGTGATCCTTTTCTACTTCCCTTCCTCAAGGGCCACCGCCTGCAGGCGGACATGCCAAGCCTCGTGCAGGATAAAGATGCTGTGCACTTCCTCCCTATCAGGATGGCGGCGCCAGGACACTCTAAGGCTGCTCACGAGCCTTTTCAGCATCTCCCGTGCGCCCTGCCTCATGCTGCCCCTGAAGGAGTGGCCTCAGGGCTCAAGATGACCGTCCCCACAGCTCCTCACTTGTGCCCAGCACCTCACAGGTCACTCACAGGGCCTCACGGTGCCCAGGTCGGGCTTGGAGCTGTCAGAGCAGGGAGCATGCCCATTCCACAGAAAAAATACTAAGGCCCCGGTAAGCAAAGGGCATGGGCACGAACTAGACGCAGCTCTTCTGAGGCTGGGTTGCGTGCTCTTAATATGTCCTCAACTGAACGCCTACATCAGGTCAAGGGGAGTTAAAAAAAATCCTCGAGGACAACCCAACACACATATATTTAGACCACCTTCCTTCCGGGGCGCTGAAGGTGACCTTCAAACACATGGCCACCAGCAGGCAGCATCACGGGGCACATACGCAGCATCTCTCAACGACACCAAGCAGGGCTGGTGTCCTGCGAGGGGAAAGACCCCTTCATCCCCGTCCACCTCCTCTCCCGAACCTCTGCAACATCAAGGATTTAGACGCCATGACCTCCGAGGCCCTTCTGGGTCAGAGTCACTCATCCAAGCAGGTACCCAGGAACAGTACCACAGCAAGGTCTGAATTTGTCAAAATCCATTCCATGAGGAGGTGTACCTACCATCAGGGTCCTTAAAGGTCAGTGTGATGAACTTGCTGGCCACCATGAACATGAAAATCACCCAAAAGCATGTGGCCAACAGAAGCCACTGGTGGTGCATGTTGTCAAACGTCAGCCATTCAGTGCTTCCTCCTGGAAAACACAAGCAAAATGCTGCTTACAAGTAAATCAATTAGACAAGGTAATAAAAGAATGGGCCATTTCAGTTAATAGCCTCAATACAAACATTCCTGAAAAATTTTCTATTGATACCAAGGGTGTTTTGACTTATTATTTAACTTAACATCATATTTTTAATTAATAGCAACTTATCAAGTTGATAATTAAGTAAAATTTAAAACACTTTACCGGAAAGGAGCCATTTCTGTTTGGTCTTGGAACACGTGATAAGACTTCACTTCTGCAGATGTGCCTGTTGACTCTTTCTGGCCCAGGCTACTGTGTCCCTGGCATCTGGCACCTGCCAGGGCCTGGAAGCCGGGGCAGGAGGGGGCCTGCCGTGGGCCGGACCTTTGGGTAATCCTCAGAGGGCAGACGCCACCCTGAGGCGATTCCAAGCAGGCTGGGTTTAAAATCCTGACTCGGTGACAAGCTGCGGCCACACCCACTGAGCTGCAGAGAATCTCTGAAACCCGAGAAACGAACCCAGGAGCGTCCCGGCTCCGCCCACTTGCCCGCCAGAGCCTGGGCGGAACCTCGGGGGTGGGCGTTTCTCAGGCTATCGCTGCCCTGGAGTGACGTGGGGCACCTGGGTCCTCAGCGGGTCACACTGTTACACTCTGCTGCAGGGGACACAGAAGAACCGGAAGTCGCCCTCGATTCTTTTCAAGAGAGACAAAAAAGTGCCTCGTGTCACCTTTAACACGGGGCTTCCTGAAGCCAAACCAAGCCACTTGGAGAGAGAGACCGCCCTGGGCTGGGTTGGTGTCTGCCGGCTGTCGGGCCGTCCATCACCCCCGGGCAGCAGGGAGCTGGTCTGTTGCACGTGCGCTGACGGAGCCTGAGTGCACCCGGTGGACAGGGCTCACGAGGGCCCGGGCGTCGGCCTTCCTCCTGCCTCAACGACAGATCCTTGCCTCTGAGGCCTTCACTGCGACCTGGATTCCCTCCCGCAAGGGGTTCTCCCCCCGCAGTCCAGCCCACACCTGCACCTGCATTCTCAGGCCTCCACGCAGCAGGCGCACCATGTTTCCCGGGGTCCCCTGGTAGGGCTGCCACATTAAACACATGAAAACACGGGGTGCCCCGTGAAGTTCGAATTTCAGGTAAGCAAATCATTTTTTAGTACTTAGTATAACTATGTCCCCAGTACTGCGTGGGACACATTTATGCTTTAGAAAGCTATTTGCTGTTTCTCTGAATTCCCAATTTGCCTGGGTGTCCTGCATTCTATCTGGCAACACTACCCAATGAGGGGGACACCGCTCCCGCTCTAACTGCCTGAAGCAGCTGGCCTGTCTCCCTGTCCCCTTCTGCCACGCCTCGTCTGGGGCCACGTGGCACAAAGCAGAGCCCTGGAGTGCCCCACCGCTCGCTAGCTCTGGGACTCAGCAAGTCACTTACCCTCCCTAAGCTGTGGCTTTCAGTCCCTGAGACAAGGCCCTCCTCCCTCCAGGATGGTCACGAGGATTAAATGAGAGACTGCACCAAAAGGACCACCTGGCCTGGAGCAGACCCTCTACAAACAGAAATCGGTCGGTCCCCCGGCACCCTTGGTGACTTTCCTAATTGACTGACACATACCTAGAAATTAACCTCACAGTGTGAACTGCCCAAGAGAAGAAAAGAAAGGCCAGACCCTCAGCCCAGGCTACTGGCTTTTCTCTTCTAGAGACAAGGGAGGCACAGATGGCCCAGAGGGCACAGGGTCCCTCAGGGCTGAGTCCGCTGAGCTGGGCCCTCGGAGACGGGGATACTTGGCGGGGTCCATCCTCACCAGTCACTGAGGAAGCCCGGCTTCAGGCCTTTTCTCACAGAGGGGCGGAGGGACCAGTGTGGGCTGGAGAGTAGGTAAAGAGAAAGCGGATGAGCTCCAGGCAGGTGGTCCACAACGTGCCCAGAGGCATCTGTGTCTGTGCACCAGTTCTCGGGAAGATTGAGGCTAAGGAAGAGGCCCTGGTGCCGAGTGGCCCAGGGCTTGTGGTTCACACTGTGCCGTGGCAGAGTGAGCACAGACACAGGGGAGTCACTGGGGTCTGCCCCCCTTACACAGACACCTCACCCTGCAGGGCAGGGCACAGAAGAGCCCCGGGCACTGGCACTCAGCTTTGCCTGGCTCAACCTGCCGACCTCCGGGCTTCCTGCCCCTGGGCGCCACCCAGGCGTCAGGCCGGTGCTGGGCACTGCACTCAGGAGGTTTTGTGATTTAAGGATCTGATCTTTCCTATGCGAGCTAGTCACCTGAAGGGATCTAATTCGAGTCCACCCGCCAAGCTGGTTCACCTCCAGATAAAGGTAGGAAGACAAAGAATAAACAGCCTGACATGAAAATGCGGCTCCCACCATCTGCCCTCCAGGAAGCCAGGCGGCTCAGGGGCAGGATTTCTACCTCTGGGCTGCTTGGAAAGTGAGACCTGCACGGTTGTGAAGCTCCGCCTGCCTTCCTAACCCTGGGTTTTCATGTAAAGTCGGAAGCAACAGCTACTTTCACCCAGAAGCGGGGGTGGGGCAGGGGCAGGATTTGGTCCCTTCTTCTCTGTGTTGGTGTCTGGGGGTTAGTCACAGAATAGCTCTCTGGGCCCCCTACTAGATTAGGACAGAACAGCCGCCTGCATACCCACCCGTGCGCTGGGAGGCCCCTGTGAGACAGAGGCTGCCAGAGCACCTCGGCTGCAACGTACAATGATTCAGCCCGCTGCTTCTTCCAGGCGGCAATTTTATTTCCAGAAAGTTCCACTTCTAAAGTGACTTCTGCTAAACTCCTACTGCACTAAGACATCCAGAGAGCCCTCTCCCCTTCCAAGCCCGGCCACGGCATCAGGATCAGGGGAGGGGGGCGTCTGCAAGGCACCCACCCGCCTCTCACCCCCTTCACGGCCCGCCTGGGCCGGGCAGGGACGGTGCCCAGGACACGTGGGGACTGTGATGCGGCTGCAGATTTGGGAAGCTCCGCGTGCATAAACCCCAGCCCCCGCCAACATCTCTCGGGAAGCAGAGCATACGGCCAGCACTTAGCATGCAGGCCAGACCCAGGCCTGCCAGTGACCCCGGTGCCCTGCTGCGGTCCCTGCCCAGGCCACACAGCCTGTGGTGGTCACTGCGGGGGCCTGCGCTCGGGTAGCAGGGGGTGGGGAGTGGGTGAAGCGCTCTCCCAGCCACTGGGCCCCGGAGGGAATTCCCTGGAGGTCCAGTGGTTAGGACTCGGCGCTTTCACTGCCGGGGTCCAGGTTCAATCCCTGGTCGAGGAACTAAGATCCCGCAAGCCGTACGGTGCAGCTAAACCAACCAACCAGCCAACCAACCAACCAACCAACCACTGGGCCCCTGTAAACGCCAGGCAGGGCCTGCTCCCCCCGCTGCACAGCACGAGGCAGGCTCAGCCCTCCCTGCTGGCCACCCTGATTTGCCCTCCATCCTCACCTAGTTTCACTTCCTTCCCGGCACCCACCACAGCCTGAATCTTCTGCTTCCCCTGGTGGCATGTGAGCTCGTGCTGGAGCACCCCGGCCAGCACAGTGCCCAGCGCACCGCAAGATGACCTTCGCTATTGCTGGATGACGACATCAACCAAGGAACGACCGGGAAGACTTAGGAGAGCTGGCAGGTGCTTTAGAAGACACCTGGCTCAACCCTCCACCCCAAGGTCCAAACTCTCTAAAGTATGAGGCCCCCGTTCAACCTCAAAATACTTTTCCAGTCTCCACATGAGTGCTTATATATTTAACATGTGATAACTGAGACTAGAAAACAACCCAAAGCTACTAGGACCTCACTATTACTTGAAAATAAAATTCTATTTTATAAGTCACGCACTCACATGCATTTGAATAGACATACAACTACTGTTCTATGTCTACAACCTACTGACCAGGGGATAAAGAAAGAATGCTGCAGTCCAAAAAAAATTTTTTCTAAAATTTAAATAAAACAACGCTGAAAGGCGGTAAGCCAATTACATAGCTCCAAAGTATCAAGATACATCAGTAAACAAAAAAGGGCAAGTTGCAGAATTGAATTATGATCCTATTAGTTAAAAAGAATTATATATATATACATGTGAACGTATGTGATTATATATACACGCAAACAAACACACACACGTGTGTGATGCACAGAATAACATCTTGAGGATGAGTGGAGTCATTTTTTACTTCGTACAATTCTGTATTTTAAAAACATTATTGCAAAAAGCATATATCCATTTTATAATAAAAACCAATAAAATACAGAAAATACCACCTACATGTGCGGACCCGGGTGTTTTTATTTCTGCTGTTTAATTTTTTTCCTACCTGACCACCACCAACAGCAGTTTCCTTACCACTTTGTAAAATGGGGCAAAGGATGGTAAATACTTTTCCAGCCAGGAAAGAATGTGGTGCATGGACAGGCAATATGTATCTGAGTGTTTACGAAATACATCTCTGTCTTCACTAGTTTTTAATTCAGTTTTTAAAATGATTTAATATTTAAAACATAGAATAATATAACGAATACTTGTTTTCAGATGCTCAGTTCTAATAGTTCTGCTGTACGTACTTGAGTCTTTTAAAGGAAATAAAGGGTTACAGATGAGCTGGAGCCCCTGCCTGGCCCCGCTCCCCTCCCTCCCCAGATACCCTCCATCTGGGTGATGACACTTTCACTACATCAAATACGGCTCCTCTCACAGACGCAGCAAGGTTTGGGAGGCTGGTCCTCCCAGTCCAGATGAAGGCAGGGCGGACTGGGGGGAGGGGAGGCGAGCTTCCCCCGGGCTGCGAGGAAACACTGCATTACTTATTATGTTTTTCAGGGGGCACATGCGGTGGTACAGCCGGGTGGAGAGATGGACCGTTTTTAAGCACTTAACTTTTTTTTCTCGTGGTCTATAATGAGAAAATTCACAAATCACACACAGACTCAAGTGAAGAAGCTGTCGAGGTAGAAGCTGGTTAAAAATTTAGACGAACCAGGACTTGCTCTCCAAGTCCCATGCTGACCAGAACCAGTGAGACTGAAGCCCGGGCCCCCACCACATGCCCCACCCCTCAGGGCCACTATCTCTACACTTACGACATCCGACACACACACACACACACACGCGAGGAGACGTGCACCTGCATACATTCACACACACACGTGAGGAGACGTGCACCTGCATACATTCACACACACGCGAGGAGACGTGCACCTGCATACATTCACACACACACACACACACACACACACGAGGAGACGTGCACCTGCATACATTCACACACACACACACACACGCGCGCGAGGAGACGTGCACCTGCATACATTTTGAAGGACACACTAACCGAGAAACGATCAATTACCAAGCTCATCACGAAAAGGTGTCCTCATTCATCCCACAAAACAGGCGCAGGGACACAGCACCGAGCCCCAAAGCACCCCCCAACACGCACACGCTCCTCGTCCTGTGGAGCTGGCAGGCTGCTGGGGGGACCGGCAGCCACCAAAGACTCTACCTAAGACGTGAGATGAGGCAGAGGACGCGGTGCCATGAGAGGAAAGCACAAGGGCCGCGACCTGGCAGACGGAGGGCAGGGGCGGCACAGAGACCTACAGGGTGAGGGGTGGAGACCCAGGCACCGGGCTGCAGAGCAGCACAAACGGAGGCCCAGGCGCAGGCACGAGCTTCCCGAGCTCGGCCAGAGAGGCGCCCTGGCAGACGTGGTCAGACAAGGCTGGGCCCTGGGGAGCGGTCGCCTTGTGGATGAGAGGGGATGGGGTACAGTGACCTGACTTACATCTTGGAACTGTTTCTCTGGCAGCCAAGCACAGCGATCCGCTCAGCCATGCCCCAGCCCCGGGGTCACTTCCACAGGCCGCAGGTGGTGCTCCTAAATGCTCCCCATCACATCACCCTCTCGATCTCTGAAAACCCGCCAATGAACCAGTAAGAGCCAGTAAGTACCTGAGGGGCTAGGCTTTGACGAATCCTACGGAGGGGTGTGTCCACTTGGCCAGGCAGCGTTTCTGCTCTGCGATCATCTGCTAAGGTGTCCGACCTTACGTTTAGGGCAGTGGCTCCCAGTCCTGGCTGTGTACTGGACCCACCTGGGGAGCTTCTGAAAACTACAGCAACACCCTGGGCCCCAAGAACACCTGAGCAGAGACAATGCAGACCTGTGGAGGAGGATCTAGGCAAACCTGTGAGGCTGAATCTGGGCGAGTCTGAAGAGCTCTGCTCAGGATGCCAGCGAGCGGCCAGGCTGAGCTGCTTGCTGGTCCAGCCCCCAGGCCTCCTCAGCTTTTACTGCCCCCGCTGCCCCTGGGGAACTCATTAAAATGCAGATTCTAGGCCTTTTAGCGTTAACAGCTGTCTTCCCACCACCTCTTTACAGTATGAGAAGGAAAACCGTAGCAAAAGGGTGTCTGTCAACTGAGACTATCTACTGAGGATCTGAATTACCTGTGCTCTGAATAAACAGCTTAAAGAGACCTGATTAGAATAAAGACCTCCATCACTGTTCCCATTTACTCTCCTTTCCAGCCCTCCCATCTATAGGTAACCAGCCCCTGTAGAATTTTGGGCTGACCTTGGAAAACTCAGGAAGATTTGCCCCATTTTTTTTTTCAACAAAAAGAAAGTCATTCCAAATTCCTGTAGCCCCAGCTCCTCCCGGCCTGCCCGCCATCTGCCATCTGCAGTGTTTCCTTGAGCACACGAATTCCCCACGGGTCTGCCTCCTGTCCACGGGCAACAGCCTTGAGGCTCACTGTTTCCGTCTGCAGAGAGTCTGGGGCCTGACACCCACGGGCCTCCCTCCTCGGCTCTGGAAGGGCCACTGCTCTCCCTGCAACCAGGTGACCAACAGCCTTTAAAGAGCCTGACATTTTCTGTAATTAACTCTCCCTTGTTCAAGGAGCCAAGACAACTCCCAACGTGCCTCTTGCAGCTAACAGGGATGAACCTGAGCGCGCACCCTGGCCGTTTGCAGAGCTTCCCTACTCCTGATCATTACGTGGGATTTGCACCTCTCAAGATGTCAGGCTCTGAAACTAAGCCAGAAGGTTGGCTCTTTGAAAACTCACAAGGCAGAAGCGGTGGTTAAAGAACTGACGGACATATGGGGAAAGCAGGGTCAGGTATGCAGGAAGACCACTAACCATGCACGAAATCCTAAGCTGCTTCTCTCTCTCTAAACCGTAAGGAAGACAGCACACATTTGACATGTTTGTAATGACAACAGTGACTCTGGTACCATTATCAACTTTTGGTGCAAATTCGGCCTCCCTTGCACTTTCAAAATGATGCTTTTTGAAAGCATCCATTTTGCTCAGCTGCCAGTGGCTTCTCCCCCGTGTTCGAGTTGTTACGCAAAAGCACAATCCTTCTGAATTTGTGCAGAAGAGTTTGACTCCCACCTGCCTAGTTCCACTTGTTTTTCTCCTAGTTCTATTTTTTTTTTTTTTTTTTGCAGTACACGGGCCTCTCACTGTTGTGGCCTCTCCCGCTGCGGAGCACAGGCTCCGGACGCTCAGGCTCAGCGGCCATGGCTCATGGGCCCAGCCGCTCCGCGGCATGTGGGATCTTCCCAGACCAGGGCACGAACCCGCGTCCCCTGCATTGGCAGGTGGACTCTCAACCACTGCGCCAGCAGGGAAGCCCTCTCCTAGTTCTACTTTTACTATGCACATTCACTCCTCCTGTGGTAAATAAGCCCATTTAACTGTTCCAAACAGAGTTAAAAAATTTTTAAAAGCAATTGGCCTAGACATGCACACAAGCACACAGATAAATCTCACAACCGTGGTGCAAAGGAAATACAGCAAAAATAGAATGAGATATATGACACAGTGCCATTTACGTAAATTAAAAACGCAGGCACTGAAACCAAAAATACACGTTCTACAAAAACACAGAGAAAGAAGAGGATGACCTTTCCAGTGATTTCTTATGTGGGTGGACGAGAGGAAATGAGACTGAGGAAAGGGAATTAAAAAGGCATCCACAAGTAAACAAAACGAGGGGCCCTGCGGACATCAGGGATGGTAACCGAGGAGTTAACCTCAACTCCTTGAATGTGAAGGAGACAGAGGGACAGACAACTAGACAGAGAAAGGAGAGGAGATATAAAAAACCAAAAAACAGCTTTTCCCCAAATGTTATTCATCCATTCAGCCATATTTACCAAGGGCTTATTCTGAGCCAGGAGCTGTTCCTGGCTCTGGGGATACAGCAACCTACCCGCTCTGCTCTCATGGTGCTTACTTCTAATAGAGGCAGACAGGCCATAAGCAGAGAGAGCCATTAACGCCTAGGATCACACCAGGCAGGCGCTAAGTGACACAGTTAATAACACAGAAGGGTAAGGGAGGAAGGGGCACCTCGGTGGAGATGATGTTGAGAAGATGTTCAAACAGAGGGAGGGGACTCATCACGCAGCACCTGGCAAAGAGCTTGGTCTGGGTCCCAGAATCCCCAAAGCAGCAAGGAGGCTGGCATCTCCTGTGCAGAGTGAGCAGGACGGCGGGGGAGTGGCCCAGATGAAGAGCCTTGTCAAGGGCCCTTTACTGAGTTGGAAACTCCTGGACCCCCGCCCCCCATCACCCATGTACCCCGGGGAAAGGATCACCTGCCCAGCGTTCAGTTTTTAAAACATTCATTCAAAACCTATCCAGACAGCAAGGGAAACTTCACGAAAATAATCTGGTCATGCACAAGGACCCGGTAACCCCGGGAGGACAGACAGGGAGAAGGGAAACAAGAGACAGCTGAGGCTGGAGCAGCGGGGACCCTCCACCACCAGCCCTTTCGATTTTGAACTAAAATGTGTTCCCTAATCAACAAAATTATTAAATCACCACTTAAGAAAATAAAATGCTGCGTATGAATTTATAAAATATATAAAGTCTAGGGCTTCCCTGGTGGTGCAGTGGTTGAGAGTCCGCCTGCCGATGCAGGGGACACGGGTTCGTGCCCCGGTCCGGGAAGATCCCACATGCCGCGGAGCGGCTGGGCCCGTGAGCCATGGCCGCTGAGCCTGCGCGTCCGGAGCCTGTGCTCCGCAACGGGAGAGGCCACAACAGTGAGAGGCCCGCGTACCACACAAAAAAATAATAATAATAAATAAATAAATATATATGTATATAAAGTCTTATTACAATCACTGTGAGCTTTAAATTCATAGTAAGGGTTTCTCTCAATCTAAGTTCAGAAATTTCCTTTGTCTACTTGGCCATCGTCATTACAATTTACCACCTCAGAACGACTGACTGCTCATCCTTTAGGGACCAGAATGGAAACCTACTCCTCACTCTAGCCAGCTGGAGAATGAACTGGAGGTGAAGACAGATTCTCAGGAGTGATGATGACGAACAGCAAACACGTCTTCGGGGGTCGCTGCAAGCCAAGTACTGCACTCGGCAGGTACCCAGCTCACCTAACCCCCTGCCTAAGCGGGTGCTCCTATTATGATCATGGTTAAGAAAACATTTCTAAGAATCCGTGTACATACTCCTATTTATGAGTTTAAGCTTCCGGAAATCTCCATATGAGCAAGAAAGGACAATGCTATGTGACGTGGATCTCAGATAACTAGTGAGGTGTCCACAACCTCCCTTCCATACCTTCTTAGGCCTGGTCCACATCTCCTTGCAGTATCTGCTTTGCCTTGGAGGTTCCTGGCTCCTCCTGTCTCTGTACGGGATGATTAAAAAAACAAATAACCACCATTAAAGGTTATGAGATCAACTTACTGAACACAACTTGCTTTATACTTGGGAAACAGTTAACCACTTTGATTTTTCAAGTATATTTTGCACGCCAGGTCTCTTACAGAAGGGGGTTATCTTTGGATGGCTTGGCAGATGAATAAACATTCTAAACGTACCAAAAGAGCTAGCTGTTTAAAAGATTCTTCCCTGTCACTTAGTAGGAAAAAATGAAATATTTTTTGGAGCAAAAATAATCAGATCCTATTATACCTGTTTTATATGTTTGATATTGCGTAAAGGAGTCCTGTATAAGGTGATCAAATCTTTCAATGCAAGATGTTCACGGGGTTTTGTATTTCTTCAAGCTATAACACCCTGGTAAATTCTAGCCAAACGTCATATCGTGAATGAATAAATGGAAACAAGCCCAACTCATGGAATTAGAGAGATTACAGATTTAATAGAGCTACCTGGCAAAATAAACATTCAACTGATTTAAAACACAATAGAGCCCGAGCTGCCTGGGATGCTTGGAGCAGTCTAGCTATGCTTCCCTTTACTCTTATGAACTCAATATTAAAAGGAAAAGCAATTTTATGTTACAAAGACGGAAAGATTAAGATGCAGATTCTTCCAGACCTGTATCAGGACAAAACACTCTCTTGGCTTCTATGATCTCTCAGGTCCTGCATTCACCTCTGTCCCCGTTTCTATTCTACTATATAACCTCAAGCATTTGAAAAATGATCTGAATATAACTGCAAATTGCCCAGGATAGTAACTAATTCTTCCCTTTCTTTGTTCAGTTTTGCAAGAACTCCAGTTTCCATTCCAGGGAAGGAGAGAATTTTTCTCTTAGGTATTTCTTGGAGACTCTACCCTTGAGGGTCAAAAGCAAAGATGGAAAGATTTTTCTTTCCATCTTGAAATTCCCATTTGGACCCAAGATGGACTCTGCCCTAATTATAATGGGAAAAAAGAGAGAAGACCATTTCCCTCTTGTGTCTCTTCCTCTTAACCCAGTCAATGAAAAGAATGAATAAGCCTGGAGCTAAAGGGAGCTCTGCCTGGTTTTAACAATACCTGAGACATTTCTCACTCTGGCAGTGAAAACTGACCAATAACCAACTCTTTATGGTCCAAGGCCCCAGACTTGGGGTGTCTGAGACAAAAAAAACCCTTTATGACAGTCCTGCCTCTCAGCTAACCAGAACCTGACTGCGCTGCTTTGCACTCAGTGCCCGGCCCTTTCCTGCCTTTTGCAGACGTGGAAAATAACAAGGCAGCTTTTGGAAGATCTGGTTCATCTTCCCAGCCAGAAGTGCAGAAATTTATGCCTCCACCTCCAACTTCTGACAGGCCTCTCTTCTGTCCAAATCTGAGCTGAGGGCACCCGGGAGCCTACCTGGTGCCATCCTTTCCCCTCCCACCCGCCAGAGACGTGCCTAATTCTGCACTTAGGGAAGCTGCACATGGCCCTTCTTCCCTGGCCCCTCTCTTCCTCTGTCTGCCTGCTCCCTGCACCCAAGTGGAACATTTTCTTCCTCTTTCCGCCTCCAATTACAAATGCAAATTCTCAGGCAAGGATGAAAGAAGTAAACTATGGATCACCGAGTATCAATGATGCCACGATCACAGCATCCCCAGCAAGGACGCCGCCTCATTGCATAATTAACGTGATGAAGGTTCTCCTCTTTAACCCCACGAACTAGGGAGGCCCTCAAGTCGCCAAAACACACTGGGATATCGCTAGCAAACAGAAGCCGGTTTTCCCCCCGTTTTCCCGTCCACCTGGCGTGTTGTGGGAATCGGGGTCCGGGAGTATATGACGCTCATCCCCCCGCCCCCCGCCCTTCCCCGAGCTCACCCTCTGTGGAGCCGGAGCCTGTCGCGGCCCTCGGGCCCTTCCGCGGCCCCAGGGGCGAAGCTCGGCTCGGGCCTTGCGGGCCTGGGGGCAAGGCGCGCGGGGTCCCGGCGTCCGGGGAGCGCTGGAGGCCCGCCCGCCCGGAGGCCTCGGCGCCGCCGCCCGCCCGGCCCGGGATGTGGCGGCGGCGGCGACAGCGGCGGCGGCGGCGGCGCCGGAAGAAGGAAAGCGAGCGCGCGACGCCCTCTCGGGGGGCGAGGCCGCCGCCGCCCCACGCGGCCCTAGCGCCCGTCCGCGCCGTGCGCGCCCCTGCGCGGCTGTGCGCGTCCCCGCCCCACCCCCCGCGTGTGCGTGCCGCCAGGACCGAGGGGAGGTGGGAGGGGGCGGAGCCAAAGGACCCCAGGAACCCGATCACCCGGTCCTTGAGCCTCCCTTCCACCCACACCCCCCCAAAAAAACACCCCCCAAATTATATCCCGGGAAGTGACAGAGAGACTTGTGGCCAAACCTAATCCCACTAGTTCTTCATCCAGGAAACAGGTTGGGTGTTTGAGAACGAAAAAAAATCCCAAACTTGGAAAAATGAAAAATAGAAAAATCCAAGCTTGGAAAAAGGCAAAATTGCTTGAGTTTGGGGCACCTCCCAGCATTCCTAATCAGCCTACCTGGTAAAAACAGCTTTCAACAGGGCGCTTTCCGCAGACCCACCCTTGGCTGACAGATGTAACCCCCTTGTCAAGGTAGAGTGGGTGGAGTCAGTCCCAACGGTGATGGGGATTTTATTGCCCTAGAAAACGTCAACTAGTTTTGTTTTGATCTAACCTACATGTTTGTTAACTACCTAAATATATATCTACTTAGCAAACACGGTAATATAGATACGTGTGTACACACACGTATGCACTTGAACACATATAATTTTTGTCAAGCTTTCAAGAAACCAGCTTTTTTTTTTTCTTCTTTGGTCTACCCTGTTGGTTTCCTCTTTAATGACTTAAGTGTAATACCGGTGGGGCTCAACATTTCAGAATTTCACTTTCAACGTGGTTACTGACCACCATGACTTAAAGATGGCAAGGCAGTTTAAGGACGGTTTACTCGGTCTTTTGATCACACATTCAGATATTTATTAAGCCCTTTCTTGGGGGCACTATGGTTGACACGAGACATTTGCTTTCTCCTTGAGGGTTTGAATGGACACACGTACATGAGAGGAGCACAACAAGTAAATTTGGAACTTAGATGTGACACTGAATAACATGCAGAGTTTAAATAAGAGTCCAAGCTCTGGGAATTAGACCTTGTTGGTTCAAATCTTTATTCCACCCCAGAAGGCTCGTGACCATGTCAAGTTCTTTTGTCTCTCTGTGCTCCCATTTCCTCATCTATAAAATAGGGATATTATATAGTATTTACCCCAGAGTTTGATACTAAAGAATAGAGGAGATAATGCATTTGAAGTACATAGCACAGTTCTCCCCCAGTAGTTAAAATCACAGTAAACATAAACTACTTTCATTATTATTTATTATTTATTGCATTCCTAATATGCTGTTCAAATATTAAAAGATACAGTTCTTTCAAGAGGCTTACACATTGGTGACTAAGGTAGCTGAACATTTTTGTTGGGGTTTTTCCGAATTATTCTAGTTCTCTTTGTTTCTATAAATGAACTTTTCATTCAGTCTTTATAACAGCAGAATAGTTTCTAAAATAGCAGTTCTCAAAACGTGATCTGTGGACCCCTGAAAATCTCCAAGATCCTTTTAGGGGATCTGCAATATCAAAACCACTTTCGCAATAACACGAGAACATTAGTTGTCTTCACTATTTTTTTAAACATTTTAAAAATTGAAGTATAGTTAATTTACCAGTTTGTGTTAGTTTCAGTTGTACAGCAAAGTAATTCAGTTATATATGTATACCTGAATATATATATTCTTTTTCAGATTCTTTCCCATTATAGATTATTATAAGATACTGAATATAGTTCCCTGTGCTATACAGTAGGTTCTTGTTGTTTATCTATTTTATATATAGTAGTTTGTTAATCCCAAATTCCTAATTTATGCCTCCGCTGCTATCCCCTTTGATAAACAGAAGTTTATCTTTTTTTAACATTTTTATTTTTATTTATTTAGTTTTTTAATTAATTTATTTATTATTGGCTTTCACCTTAAGAAACTAGAAAAAGAACAGCAAACTAAACTTAAAGCAAGAATAAAAGAAGTAAATAATAAAGATTAGCGTGGTAATAAATGAAAGAAAAAATAGAAAAGCAAAAGAGAAAATAACAAAACAAAAAATTGCCTCTTTGAAAAAATCAACAAAATTGATACATCTTTTTCTAGATTGACCAAGAAAAAAAGAGAGGAGTCAAATTATTAGAATTAAAAGGGGGATATTACTTACAAACTTACAAAAATAAAAAGGATTATAAATGAATACTATGGACAATTGTATGCCAACAAATTAGATAACCTGGACAAGTGGACAAATTCCTAGGAAACACAAACTACCTAAAATTGACTCAAGAAGAAACAGAAAATCTGAACAGACCTATAACAAACAAGGAAGAGATTGAATTAGTAACTTTAAAACTTCCTACAAAGAAAAGACTAGGCCCAGGTGACTTCACTGTTGAATTCTACATTTAAAGAAGAATTAATGCGAATCCTTCACAAACTCTTCCAAAATATAGAAGAGGATGGAACACATCTCAACTCATTCAATGAGTCCAATATTGCCCTGATACCAAAGCTAGACATAGACATCACAAGAAAACTACAGACCCATATCTTGTATACAAAAGACACAAAATCCCTCGACAAAATACATGCAAATTGAATCCAGTAATATATATAAAGGATTATACAACATGACCAAGTGGGATGTATCCCAGGGATGAAGGTTGCTTTAACACCTGAAAATCAGTTAATGTATTACACTATATCAATAGAATACAAAGGACAAATCACATAAGTAAATAGAAGCAGAAAAAGCATTTGACAAAATTCAACTCCCCTTATTGATAAATACATGCAATAAACTAGGAATAGAAGGAAACTTCCTCGACCTGATAAATGACATCTACAAAACTCTGCAAATAATATCATACTTGATGGTAAAAGACTGGAAGCTTTCCCCAGAGATCAGGACAAAGACAAGGATGTCCACTTTCATCACTTCTAACATTTTGCTGGAGGTTCTAGGTAGGACAGTTAGGCAAGAAAACAAATGAATTATCCATATTGGAAAGGAAGAAGTAAAACTATCTCTATTTTCAGATGACATGATATTGCATACAGAAAATTCCTACAGATTCTACTAAAAAGAGCTAATAAATTAGTTGAGCAGAATTACAGGATATAATACAAAAATCATTGTATTTTTATAAACTAGCAATGAACAATCCAAAAATGGAATTAAGAAAACAATTCTATTTATAATAGCATCTAAAGGAATAAAATTCTTAGAGATAAATTTAACAAAAGAGGTACAAAACTTATGCTCTGAAAAATACAAACATTTTTGAAAGAAATTAAAGAACACCTAAATAAATGTAGAGACATCCCATGTTCACGTATCCGAAGACTTAATATTAAGATGGCAGTACTCTCCAAATTGATCTACAGATTCATTGCAATCCTCATCAAAATTCCATCTGGTTTCTTTGAAGAAATTGCCAATGCGACCCTAAAATTCACAGGGAACTTCAAGAAACTCAAAACTTATTGAAAAATAAGATCAAAGAGGGAGGAATAACACTTCTCAATCTTAGAACTTACTACAAAGCTACAGTAATGAAGAGAGTGTGGTACCAGCATAAGAATAGACATATGGATCAATGGAATAGAATTGAGAGTCCAAAAATAAACCTTCACATTTATGATCAATTGATTTCCAACAAGTGTAACAGGGAAGAACAACCCTGACTCCATATCGGACGTGTTTCTTTAACCTTTGTATTCTATTGCTTTTGCTACAAGTTATTCACTAAAGGGATGTTGCCTATAGCTTAAGGTATGCATAATGGCCCATCTCCAGGAAGCCTGTCTCCCATGTCTGAAGGTTAAGCTAAAATATCTTTGTTTTCCTTTGTTCACAGGAAACATCCTGACCAGGCCCACCTGTGGAAAAGAAGAAATTAACACACCCCCTCTGGAGTCTGGCCAGAGCCAGGAAATATTTGCAACAACTTATTGCCTTTTTTACTTTACCTCCTCACCTTCCCCTCTTTCTTTTATAAAAGAAACTAGCATCCAAACCTGAGCGAGATGGTTCTTTGGGACACTAGCTCACCATCCTCTTGGTCTGTTGGCTTTCCGAATAAAGTCGCCATTCCTTGCCTCAACAACTGGTCTCTCAATCGATTGGCCTGTCATGCAGTGAGCAGTACGAGCCTGGACTCAGTAACACAAGGTTGCTAAGATAATTAAATGAAAGCAGAAGAGTCCTTTCAAAAAATGGTGTTGAGATGACTGATATCCATGTGCAAAAGAATGAATTTACACACTGTCACATCATATTGAAAAATTAACTCAAAATGGATTGTAGATCTAACTGCAAGAGCTAAAACTAAAAAACTAGCAGAAAAATAGGCATAAATCTTTGTAACCTTCAGTGAGACTATGGTTTCTTAGATATGACACCAAGAGCACAAGCAACAAAAGAAAAAAATAGATAAATTGGACTTCATCAAAAACTTTAAATGTTGTGCTTCAAAGGATACTATCAAAAAAGTGAAAAGACAACCCACAATATGGGAAAAAACTTTTGCAAATCCTATATCTAATAAGGGACTAGTATCTAGAATATATACAGAACACTTACAATTCCATAACAAAAAGGCAAATAACCCAGTTTAAAAATGGGCAAAGGATCTGAATAGACATTTCTCCAAAGAAGGTATGCAAATGGACAGTAAGCACATGAAAAGATGCTTAACATCATTTAATCACTAGGGAAGTGAACATCAAAATCACAATGAAATACCACCTCACATCAACTAGAATGGCTAGAATCAAAAAGACAATAACAAGTGTTGGCAATAATGGAGAAATGCAACACTCACACGTTGCTGGTGAGGATATACAATTGTACAATCGTTTTGGAAAACTTCTTGCCAGTTCCTCAAAATGTCAACCTAGCAGGTATATATTCCAAGAGAAATAAAAACATACATCTGTGCAAAAACTTGTATGT